GGACAGGTAAAGGGGGGTACCCCTCCGTCCCATATCTTGCCTGGTATAATGCCATGTTAACCAAAAAGCACAGATAAATCCAAAACAAACAGGAAACCAATTAGAAAAACAAAAGACAGAAAGACAAAATACAGGGAACCAAAAAGAGAATAATTAAAGATACATTGAATGTACGCGTAAGGTTCAGAAAATAAACTGTGATATAAAATGAGGGTAATTGGAGAGATAGAAAAATCGACATTCAGGTAATTGACAGTGAATCATAGATAATATATTATTTGAAAGGTATGAATTTACAGGAGATACAAGTACAGTTTGCGCTTAAAAATATAGTAGAGATTTGAACTGTTTAAGATACAACGGTAAGGAATTCCGTATTTTGGGTCCAGAAAATTCAGATTGTTTGAAAAGCAGTCGTGCGTTGTCGAGGTATATGCAAGGATAGATGATATTTTGCTCTGGTGTTGTAATTGTGTTTATGGCAATATCAAACATGCCATAATGTCAAACAAGTCATTTCTGGCTTGTTAGTTCCAAACCCTGCCAGTAAATTTTACAGTCATGCTCCGTTAGTGGTGAAATGGTTGCACTCGTACAGTGATCTAATTCTGTAGATGTGATTATCCAAAACTGCTGAAGCTTTCTGTGGGCAAGTGTCCCTTCGATCAATTTGAAGTAGCGAAGCACTAACTACGATTACGTTGTACAAATTCATGGTGAATGAATGGTGGATCACGGCATGTCACATCATGTTTTGATGTTCAGGGTTTTGATTGAGAATAAATCAGAGAGTGGTATAATCTCTGCTACGTTTTCCCTAAGTCAGTGACTCTGAAAAGCTGTTGCTTATTTTTATGTTGAAATTTTTGGAGTGTTAGATTTGGTTGTCCTCTCATAGGTTGATTTCTGATTTGTCCAGGTGGTATTTGTAATCAGTGTGCTGCCCTCCAATCACATTTCAGTCTCCACTGTGCACAGTTGTTATGCCAAAGTTGTATTATGGAGTTGTTTTTTTCCTCTAGCCATCCCCCCTCTTTTCTCTTACCTGCCCCAAGCTGCTATTTTGAGAAATGAATTTGTTTGTACTTATATAGGAACATTGTTGTGACTTTTTTCCCCAGGCAACCTTCCATACTCCCTTCTCTTCGCTGGGCCAGTCACCAGAGGCCTGTTCCTCTTACCTGTTCCCTAAGATCATGGGGCAGGCCAAGGTAAAAACCAAGAAAGTCTCCAGTTTTGCTGCTGGAGTTTCAGAAATCTGATACCAACTGGGTTTGCGAGATTTCCAACAGCACACGTGACATGACTCAAGCATTCATTGTGCAGCGCCTGGTCTCAATTAAACCTGACAGTGTCCAGTAGTTCACTTGTATGACGTGCCATCAGATGTTGGATGAAAATCATTATGTCAGTCTTGCAGAGTAAAATATGAAATCTCTGTTCCAAAGTAAATTGAGGTTAAGTCACACATAGCGGAGCAAAAACAAACCAGGATCTATCAGAGCATATTAAGAACCAAGTTTATTCACACACTCATCCGTCAATTTCATAATCTTCAGTTGGGTATCAAGTAGAATTCAGGAACCTGTGATAGAGCAGAAGCTTCTAACATTAACAGATACATGTAATGTTTCAGTTCAGACATTTATGAACACCAGTTTGGTAAGCCTTGCGAGTTAGTGTCCACCCTCCACCACAGTTTGTTGGAGATATAATGTGTTGTAGCTTCATCACGGTGATTCCACCAGAGATTGGTCATGTCATTGTGTCCCGGGACTTTTTTTACAGTCCAATGAAGTATTGCTATTTGGCCGCAAGTTGACAGCTCAAGAGGCCTATGACAGGGGACTCGTGACTGAAATCTTCCCGGATGCCACATTCCGCCAGGATGTCCAAAATAAACTTGATGAGTTTGCCACATTGCCCAAACAGGTAGGAAAGACTTTAAAGTCCAAAAAGTTAGAGGGCCAGACATTGTTATCGTTTCTGAAAGACAAAAATTATTCTAAATACCTATAAAAGCATACACAAACTACAGAAATAATATGGAAATGTTTTATGTAGATTCTGCAGTTGAGCGGGCATATAACCACCTGTTGACCTGCATGTTGCGACCAGCCTGTGGGCGTTTACAATCATTGCCCTCAGCAGGAAAAACACTCTGCTGAACCTGTGTGGAGTTGTATGCCCAAGAACATAATGCTTTTTTCCTGAAAACAGGACTCTATTGTGGTCTCCTCACTCTCCTGTGGAATTAATGTGTCCAGGGAGCTGTGAACTGACCAAAACTGTCCTTGTCATGATCTTCCAGAGGTAGTCACTTTCAGTGACTTACATGTGTTTGAATGCAGTGAGGTCAGTTGACAGTTTTGAATGTGGAGGAAGGAGGGACTGTTCAGAGTCTCCACCCCTCATCTCCCTATCCTTCCTTCCTTCCTACAGGCCTAACACAGATAGTTTTATTCAGAAGTAGTTTCTCTATATTTCTCACTCTGACATAGCTCTGTTCATGTTATACTCCCTACGCTGCTTTGGTAATGGGACTCATGAATTAATTCAGTCCCCATCACTTCTCTTCATAAACAGTCCATGCGGCTGTCGAAGACACTCATCCGCAGTGCTGAGCGTGAAAAACTCCATCAAGTCAACAAAGACGAGTGCGAGTTACTTGTAGAGCGGTGGACATCGGAAGAGTGCATACAGGCCATCATGGATTTCTTTGCCAAGAAATCCAAGCTCTGAGGCAGGAGCATACATGATGACAATGCAGTTGCCCAACTTCACACGAGGGGAACATTATACAAATCTGGTTGGCCATTTGTCAGGCCTGATCTTTGTCATTAGTGGTGGCCTGCGTTATCCACCCCAGGAGTAACAGAGTAAATTGGAAGATGAAATTGAAGCCTTGTCATTGGGGTTGCATGTAAAAGGTTTTGGAACTGAAGTGGACGGCTTAGGCAGAGTTGAAGCCAAGATAAAAATCCCAACAGAAGCACAAGCTTCAATTGTACAGTAAACTGGCAAACTAGACTGTAAACATGTTTAGCATTTTATGTGCTGAATCAGGCTTTGTCTTAAAATGTTGTTCACGGCTACGGCTATTGTCCATGACTCGACAGTTTTTAATCTGTAAGTTATGGCCATAAAATATCCAATTTAGACAAAGCCTGACAAACATCACAAATGGTCATTTTTTAATCACCTCCATGAACTATTGCAAAGCAAAGTTGAGGTGTTGGCAGCAGATACCTAGCACTCTGTCTAAATAGTTTAAGTACTTCTCCCTCCCCCCCCATCATTTGATGGGGTATCAGAGTCTCTCTTTGCATGGATTAAGCATGAATGGAGTCGTTCCAATCAGCTTATTGGTTTACTTGTCTAATTATTGAATGCCTCAATATGGCAATAAGCCTTTTTGCGGGTTTTAACTTGAATAAAATCTGGCACACTGAGTTCTTTAAATTCATGGGAACGTAACAATTCGAATTATCCACATGAAAGACACTGTTGCTATACCTCGTGACTTGGGGCAAGCTTTGGCTTAGTTACATAAGAGACGCACATAAGTGCCACACAAAAATGTTGTAGGTAGGCGTGCAATAGACGCAGGCTGCTAATATGTATATATGTATTTCTTAACCAGTGATCATTATTGGAATACTTTTTTGACGGAATTTATATTTGCACACACCCCGGAAAGCTTGCCGTCATCTACATTGCAGATCGGTTACATCAGTTGTCCCCCACCTCAAAAAGTGTGTACGGGGGGATACTGTACATATCTCTCCCCTTTGGGATTTATGCCCATGACTAGTAAAGGCCATGATCACCCCCCCCCCCCGAAATGTGGCCAGAAAATGACTTCTGTGATACATGATTAGGAATTGCAGTAACCTTGGTTGTTTCTGTCAAAAGAACCTGTTGAATCCGAATATATATGAATGTTCCCAATTCGAAAAAGTGCACACAAAAGGGTGCAATTAGACTGGTTACTCTATCCACATTGCAAAGTGTACCAGTAATTATGCCAAGTTTGGACATAAACTAGCTCTAGGCTCACTGAGTGTAGCATTGGTTGTTTTTTTTTTTCAGTTTTAGACGGGATCGGTCATGACCGATCCCGTTCAAAATTGAAAAAGAGGAATACTAATGCTCCACTCAGTAGAGCTAGACATACATGTACTTTCTTATCCGCATTTTTCCTTAACCTGGAGCCTTAACTTTTGATTTGTAACTTAGGTAAATTTCATGTACTTAATGTAATTGTTAACAAGACCAGCCAGGTGCACATTGAGGGTGGTATTTTTTTTGCCTGGGGGGTGGACCCTGCACACACTCACCCCCCCCCCACACTTTCTCAGGAATACCAGTCTGCTCAGGTTGACCACCAAGGCGGGAAGAGAGGGCGAGTCATGCCTGCTGCATCTTTTTATAGGGCCTGCTAGGCTAAACTGGTACCCTTAAATAATCGTACGGGTAGACAAACCTAGCAGTCGGGAACCAACTAAGGTGAAGAATGAGGGGGGCAGTTACAAATTAATCCTTCGCGTTTGTGGGATTCAATTATTTGGTTTCAGGCTGCCTGGTTCAGGTCAAACAGCATTTTACTTGTTTGGTTCTTGACATTTTGTGCTTTTGTGTTTCTCTTTTGTAACTGTTGATTTAGTAAACCAGTCCAGATAAAATTTTAAAGTCTGCACAGTTAAAAAGAAACTAAACGCAATGAACTGTAGCAAGCTATATTCAGTTGCCATATTTCTGGTTAATATTGCAAAGCATGCAGAAACCTTCAGAATTGTTTGTTACATACTGCAAAAATAATGAAACGACATGAAAACACTCTGATTGAATCTCTCGTCGACTATATTTTATGTAAAAAATCATATGAAACTTTTCATGTTAATTCCTCATTTGGAATTATCGAAAAGCTATTTATTACTTGATTTAACGCATTGACCCGCCTTCAGTATTTTTCCTTAGGATTTAAGGGGAAAACGATTAGACATAAAAAAACAACGATTTGTACAAACCCTCTTCATGCGAGCCAAGATCCTTTTAAACGTAAGTATGACATTTGATTTTTTACCCAAAGCACCACTGTTTGTGTGCGGATTGATGCTGGGCACCCTCCGCGTCCGTACTGTCAACTTCTCCACGCTCGAGGGGGGTCCCGTCCCCCTCACCGTTCGACTCGCAGGAATCAGTGGCTCCCCGGTGGGGTCCTGCGTCACCTCAGCCTGCGAGGGGGACCAGCCGCAGGACCTCCTGTATCCTGGTCTGCCGAACGGCAACCTTCCAGGTCGGGGGGCTGCCGGATGGTCGCTGCCACCTCACCTGGAGGAAGCCCTGTTGTAGCCGCAGTGTCTCCCACCTGGCCTACCATGACTTCGCGCTGACGCCAAGGGCTGATCTTCCCTCCCACTTGGGCCTCTGGGACCCTTGTTCCAGCCACTTACAAACCTGGGCCAGCTCCGGGTCTTGACATTGTTCTTCCTGAAGGCGGTCGTGGCTCCAGATCTGCGGGAGTTCGTCTAAGTCCGATGCGTCCTTTTGGTCCCTTCTCTGAATGGCGCCCACTGTGGGCGCTGGCTCGGCCGCAGAGGGCACTCCTGAAGCCGTGAAGCACTCCTGCCCGGCTTCTTTCGAACGTCCACATTGCCCGCAGGGGACTCGGGAGACCGCATCAGCATTGAGGTGCTTGCCTACCGCTCGGTGCTCGATATCAAAATCGAAACACCCTAGTTTCTCAAACCAACGGCCCGTCTGCCCTTCTGGTTCCCAAAAATTGAACAACCATCTCAGCGACCCGTGGTCTGTCCTAAGCAGAAACCGCCGCCCCAGCAGGTAATGTTTGAAGTACTGCACAAAGTGGACCACGGCCAGCAGCTCTTTCCGGGTATTGCAATAATTGCGTTCAGACTTCGTCAGTACGCGGCTGCCGTAGGCAACCACCTGCTAGTCCCAGCCGCCATCCTGGGACAGGACTGCCACTATGGTGCAGTTGCTGGCGTCGGTATCTAGGATGTACCGGTACTCGGGATGCAGGTACCTCAGCATCGGGGCTGTAGACAAAGCGTCCTGAAGCTGTTCGAAGGCCTCCTGGCAAGAATCTGTCCAGGTTAAGTCCTTCTGACTCTTGTTGGTGAGCTCATGCAATGGGCGGGCGATCTCCGTAAAGTGGGCTATGAAGCGGTGATAGTAGGACGCGAGGCCCAGGAAGCTCCGGACCTGTGTCACGTTCGTAGGTGTCGGCCAACTCCTAATGACAGCGACATTGTCGGGGTCGGTTCTGACCCCCTCGGCAGACACTAGGTGACCCAAAAAGGACACCTCCGTCCGGTAGCGGTTACACTTCTTGGGCTTGAGCCTCAGCCCCGTGCTCTGGAACCGCTCCAACACTGTAGCCAACCTCTGGTAGTGCTCCTCGAACGAACGCCGCCAGACGATGACGTCATCCAAGTACACTACTGCCACCTGCCACTGCAGCCCCCTCAATACCCGTTCCACCAGGCGTTCAAACGTCGCCGGGGCGTTGCAGAGCCCAAATGGCATCACCGTAAACTGGTACAGGCCGCTCTGGGTCCCGAACGCTGTCTTGTCCCGGCCCCCCTCCTCCATACGGACCTGCCAGTACCCGCTGGCCAGGTCGAGCGTGCTAAACCAGCGGGCTCCGCTCAGGGCGTCGAGGTTGTCCTCAATCCTCGGGATGGGGTATGTGACCTTCCGGTAGTACACGCAGAAGCCGCTGGACCCGTCCTTCTTCCTCACGAGGACTACCGGCATACTCTCATTGTACTTTCATTGAGAGTCATTTTGTTTTTTATGTGATTTCGTCAAAATAATTTACGGACCTAAGGCTTTTTTATAAACTGAGTCACTTCCAAAATTCGTCTGTGCCTTGGTGACTTGTGACGAGTTTAAATGCCAGTGAAATTAATTATCCTGCAAATAACTGCAGCATGCATATTAAGTGCCAGCTGGTTTGTAATTCAGGACTAAAAATACTAGCAGGATAAAATATTATGCAATTTGATTGTGGTTGTGATTTGATTTTTGCACAAACTTGAGAGACGTAAAGAGATACCTCATCATCAAGAAACTTAAAACCTGTTTGCAGAGGGAACGTACGATCGGTGAGAGGAAATGTTGAAATGCATTTCACTTTCTTTGTTCATCTTTATAATCATTTGTAAGCACTTAGTCAATTTCCCTAAATAATTTGTTCCATGATTTATGTTCAAAACGTTGTATCCTATTCGAGTAAACCCAGTTCATTATTTCCCAGGTTGTATCGTGTTATCGGGGCGTGATCCCTGGCTACATGGTGTTTCAGGTTTAATGGCTTCTGGCCAGCATCCCCGAACAAAGCTATTCACAAATGGGAAGAGCCACTCAGTTGGTAGGGCACCGGTACGGTATTCCGGAGGCCGCGCGTTCAAGTCCTGCTCCTGTAATTTTTTTTATCATCTTTAAAATGAAATGCATAGTGATTTGCTTTTATTCCCCCTGGCGATGTGTGATCAGTTCACACATTACCGACTTATGTTGTTGTTGGATTTTTATTCAGGTTTCAAGGAATTTATTTTTTGTTACGAGCTCTGTGGAATGTGAATGATTGTTTTATTGACCCAAAGTTTCAGTCGGTCCGATGCAGTATTTTTTTTTCTGTTGTACGGCTGCGCCAACTAACATAAATTTGAGTTAAGCCATCACCAATCGTCGTGCTCAGTCGTTTTCATATTTCCACACAAAAACATCGTAGGTAGACGGTGCCCTGAAAACATCAGCTTTTAAAGTTAGAAAAGATTTTGAGCTATAGTAGAACATTTTGCGCAAAATGCCGCGCGCTTTGGTGTTTTTCGCCTGGGGAGTTTACTTGTAACTCCCCTAAAACACTTGGTACGACCTCATGAATCCTGCTGCTTTTCAAAAGAAAAAAAGCAAAATGCTTGGTCCGCTTTGTTGAGGACCCCCCCCCCCCCGAAAAGTCCTAGTTACGGGCTTGGGATTTTGTATCGCTGAATGGCGCTGCTCGTTCTTTCCCACACGTGATGTATTAAGCAGGTGATGGCGACCATCCTTTTATGATCATAAATTCGGCCATTCGGGTTGGATAGAAAAGGTGCAGGCATTTGATTGCTACGACTCCAACCACGACTCCGTCAAGAGTTCAATAGATTTTCGCGAATGGTTTGGGGAGAAACAGTGATTAGTCGAGGCATGCCATGACCGCAACTCTCTGTGTGTTCCATGGTTTGCTGCAGATAAGACGAGACATTTTAAGCCGCTTAATAAATCCGTCTGCACCCACGCTCACAGGAATGATTGCCAATTATTCCAGGGGGCCCTTAATCACCGTTTATCTCCATACACGAAGTTTCTTTCATGATCTATCACCCAAGGCGTAAGCCAATCCGTTTTTTAGTCTGGAAGCTCAAGAGGTAACAGAGGTTTTTCTTTGAAACGAATGGCTGCCAGTGTTTGGAGGCCCTGTCATCAGTTCGACCATTAGGTTTGTTTGCCGAGGCAAGGGGTGAAGAGGTAGCCCTCCTGACCTTACATCTGCACATCGAGATAATATGACGGTCTAGCAGCGCTGTATATACTATATGCGCCTAGCCTTCTCGAAGGAAGTTTTATGCACGTTTTTCCCTATTGGGCCTGGTGAATCTGCGCATCTGCGCCCGCAACCCGACGTTTACTATCACAAACCTACCCAACTGAACGGGACTGTCATCACAAAGGTAAAGAAACAACAGATGATTAAAACTTCCGAAAGTATCGAAATTAAGGTCCCAGAGTGACCTCCTGTTTGACGAGGATGGAATAAAAAAAGGCGTTCTACAAATGTTTTTGTTGTACGGGAAAATTCCTGATACAGTGTCCCTCACTTGGACTTCTATATGCCTGAGCCTTTCTATCTTGCACTTTTTGGAGAAACACTGCTCGAGTTTCCGTTCCCTTTCGTTTGTAACAAGATTTTTTCTTAGAGTTGAATATAGGACTTCAGACAGCAAGGCTTGAGAGGGATATTACTTTCGTAAATTCGATTCAAGTGTTTGGAAGAGTTCTATACTACATTGACTTCACTCATTCTCCAGCGGAGGCCGCTCAACCATCTCAGAAACCAATATAACACACCCAGCAGGGAAATATTGAAGTATTCAACTCAATAAACAGAATCTTAAAGACTTGTCTCAAAGAGTTTGTGTACAGGGTGTCAAAGTAATGTCCGGGTATGAAACTCTATCGTCATTAGTTTATCATCTTCCCTAGACCTCTCATGTCTTGAATCACAGAATCTGTGAGTCTTGTTTTGTTTTACCCCGCCCTGTGAATTTACAGGATCGGGGTCACAACGGAGAGGCTACCCCACACGGGCACTGCTCCAACGCAATGAAGACAAATTACCAAGGCCTTCCAGCTTTAACTCTTGGAATCTTACACTTTGTAGCCCGTGTGGAGATACCGTACATGTATCAGTAATCATTTAATTTTGTCCCAAACTTAAATGCCCCAAGGGCAACTGGAGGCACTGGGTACCAATTTCTTCCATATTAGCTTTCAAAGGGGTATGCTGATTTTCTGTATCGTGCACCCTTTTGTGGTTGACCGCTGCGTTGACTCCTGTAATTGCACCGGAGGTGGATTTCAAGCCCCAGTAAAAATGGATCGGTCCACAAGTTATCGTTGCGATCGCTGTGGTGAAGTCACAAGGCGAATGATTTGGCAACAGCCGACTGATTTGAGCATAAGGCATGCAGAGAGCTAGAGCGAGGAAACCGACTGCGGCTGTCTTGTTCAACTGCTCGTTCTGCTTGTGGTCTGATTTGCGTCAAGGCTGGAATGTGACAGTGAAAATAGGTTTTATTATTAGTATATGACTCGATTCGCATGAGAGCCAGCTGTGACTGCAGCGCTGATACCTTTTAGTCAACAATTTCTGCCAGGGGCTGTTAGAGTTTAGCCGTGTCGTTCGTTGCCGCATGGTTGTTGTCGACGAAATGAACCAACCGAGGGCAATGTGGAATAACAAAGTGTAAGTGAATCAGTTTCACTATTGTGTTTTACAAACATGATTTGTAGAGAGGAAAATGTGGGATTGAGATGAAATAACCATCTCCAATGCATGTGTATTCAAAGCTTATGGTAATTCTGTGATCTGAGTGTTTCGGAATTAGGTTCTCATTTGCCCTGTAGGCCTATTATTAATATTACTCGCCGTTGTCATGACTGTTTGAGGTGGCCTGCATTTGCCCAGCGGTAGTTACATGACCTCTTGTAGTGGTAATCACACTGTGATTTCCTGCCTTGGATAACTCACAGATGCTTTGTTGGTCTTGTTAAGGATATATACTGTATACTGGGACATACTCAGTACATGTAGCAAGGCCCCCGGGCAATGCACGAATGGCGTGCAAAAATATTAATGTGCGGCAACAGTAGAGGAAATGTTCTTCAGCACACGGGAAATACTGTGCCCACATTAAGTTTAGTATGGTATAATGTTAACACACCCGGCCCCATGCACCCCAGAAGTCTAAGTTGGGTGCACGTGCCTGGGGTACGTGTGGCGACGTACGGAAGGGAGGAGAGATGATCGACCTTCAGTTCAATCAACTACCACCAGTACCACTGTAAAACTTAGTCTTGCGGTGCGGATTTACAGAGTAGAAAACGGCTAAAGCAATTCCAAAGGGCCACACACATGGCCGATCTGAATTCCAAATGCAGCCCGAACTCTCGGACACAGCCTTAGATTTAAGCTCATTGTTTCGTCTTCAACATTTTCTTGTGATGACGTATAATGAACGCAACAATATCTTGTTCTTGATAACCGGTCACCCGCAGTTGACGATATATATATTGTCAATGCCTGATTTTACCATATGGTTTTTTGGACAGTGTTACCCCCCCCAGGATGTTCCCATAATTTTACAAAAAAAAATCTAAGAATATCCCTTGTCTGCAATCTCATCATTTCCTCTTCAACGTCATGGGGATGCAATTAAAATGGTCGTGCAGGCAGATTCCGTATATGCTGCAAGCGTGCTTTAAGTTTCGGAGCTGGTTTAGCAAATACAAGTGTTTTGACGGATATTTGGTAATGTTGATGGATGCATCTGCTGGGTTAAGTGGTGTACATTTGATTCCTACTTCGAGCAGTTCAAAACGAACGACATTCGGTACATCTGAATAGGTCAAAACCGGGAAATCACTTGTAGACGTGTGGGTGTTTATGGTTTTTCTGCGGACATTGCCCACACTAGAATCTACTGAATCAATCAACTTTATGCCTCCCAAACCCGTCAGAGCAGTCGCTCTACGACAAAGAAGCAAACACGCTGTACGTTGTGTGTAAATTAACTGTGTGGGAGGGTAACTCGAACCCCAATTGATTAACCTCCGTTTTCCTACCTCCATGTTTGGACGAACGATTGTTTTCACAGCCGATTTACTTCCAATTTTAATCAGTGCTACCTCCAGTACCGCAGTGCCCCCGTTCATGGCTTTCTTGTGGGTTCCAGCCATAAACTTAAACAGGAATTGTCCGTGAGCGATCTGTATAACGTGAGATTTGTTTACATCAAATGGATCGCCAACGATGCCGCATGTGACTTATGACCTAACGTTTGATTGGTGAGCCGTCGAGAGGGTTAGAGAGGTCACGATCAACTTTGGGTGTTAAAAATTTATGGAAACTCCTGTCGAAAAGGCAGGGCGGAGCCAGAAATCTGACTTGGAAGGGGATGACCTTTCTTTTTGATGGAAGGCAGTATCGAGGAGTTTTTGGAGGCAGAATGAGCTGAAAAATCAGGACAGATATTGGCAGGGGGAGCATATAGCACGCTCAGCCCCTCTTGGTCCACCACTGGGAGATTTCGCAAGGAGATCTAAAAAATAAAACACTCAGTAAATGCTCTACTGCAGCTACTCACTAAACGCCCAGTCAAGACATCAAACATAAACATTCTTGGTTTGTGGTTCTGTTGTGCAGATTCATATATTTAGCGAATGTGCAGCTGCGTAACTGCTGTAACTATTAACAAGAAAGAATGCTTGGTTGAGCCCGGGGCCTTACCTATAATCATACTAAAGCAAGCTTGGTATGTATGTTATGATTTATGACTCAACTAAACGAGACCAGCGTTAAAGGCGACATTATGCCGTCTTCCCCTCCAACTGCGCGAGAGAACAAATAAATTATGCTTTACGGTGTCAAGCTGTCAAAATGCCTTCTGCATTCGATTTGTCATAATGTTCTAGTTATTTGCTATAGGATACATAGTCGCATACCATTCCTGTCTAATGAGGAACAACCTCCAATCGGGGAAGGGTCTGGATAATATGCGAGTCAGTCCATCATTAAAGTTTGCGGGTCATTTGCAGAAAATTGCTGCGTATGATTTTTGTGTTATTTATAACTGTCTCCAGCGGATTTTCGTTACAGTTGCACATAATGTATACCTGCTGTCTTGATTCAAAAATGGGATCAGACGAAATTGCCGAGGTACCTTTTATGAGCCTTTTGAGTTCATGTGGATGTTGTTCACCAGGAACGAAGTTTTCTCTCAAACTAGAAGAGGAACAGATATTTGTAGCAAGTTCATTCTTTCTTTGTTCGTTTCGACCTTGCCCTGTTGATTAGAATATGTGTATTTGAAGGTATTAAAGACTGACAGCTGAACGGTGAGAATAGTTCCATGATTATGCAAAGCGAGGTTGACCTGGTTTGAGAAGCAGCATTTTTGTTTGAACTCCTTCAGGTAAATCGGAGTGAATGTGGCTATCCCTTACACAACACACTATGCTGAAGCTGCCTGTTGGTTAAATAGCTACAATGTGTGGTTAAATGAATTCTCCTTCACCATCTCCAGTGTTTTCTATTTCAGCATCTCAGCTGTACTGAGCGCTGAACTTCTGTTGAACTCTTTGCCGCGGCCCGTGGACATCTCATTACGGGTCCTTGTTATTAGGTCCTTCCGCTCATAGCGAAATACATGGACTTATCTTTTGCAGACATTGCTGGAGGATCAAGAGAGGGATGGAGGTATAGGATGCGGTTAAATTCAACGGAACATGCTAACAAATATTGTAGAAAATTTGGGGTGACTTGAGAGGCACAGGGCTGCGTCCCTCAAGTTCCGACACGTAGTTCGCTAGTTGGGCTGATAAAAAGTTGATGGCGAGAAGCTGTGCTGATATATAATGTAGGCCCCACATGTAGACTGAGCGGCTGTGTGGTCTTTGTTGTTCCGTCGGTTCCTCGAGGTGCCGGTCTGGCATCGTGTAGTACAGGGCTTGTGTGAGACGGCTCGTTTGTGCCGCATTGTTGTCAGATATTCCCAAGAATGAGGAACTGGACGAAGGGAATTAAAAATCACACCTTTTCCTCAGTCCATGAGTCCAATACAGCAAGTGAATATTCGAGTAGCCATGGTAACATGCCTCCAGACACTCCACTCAGCTTACAAGTCACAAGACCCGCATGGCGACTTTGGGTGAGATTTTCGTGGCGCCATGTCAATCGGGAAAAGGCTTATGAGGTCATCCTCCCTCTTACATCTGTGGACATGTCATGTGCCACATACACCACGATCACCAGGAGGAACCAAATATTGACTTTTTTATTTATTTATCCCTTGGTGTACTTGCTGCGGGATGTAGTTCTCGGTCGTGTACTCATGCTGTAAAGCACCGTAAGGTTCAAATAATGAATTCCTGTGTTTTTGCCGTAAGGCGCTGACTTCAAAACGATATATTCTGCAGATGTTATGGCGACGCATACTGCAGGCATTAAAATCTGTGTTCAGATTCGAGTGATTCATGATTTATCCTGTTGAGAAGATTAGACTAAAAGTGTAGCTGCAGTGAATTTTTCTGCGACAATTTGTGCAGTTTTGCACTCTACTTCAGTGGGTGAAAACTCTTAAATGGTGAAATGCATTGAAAAAAGTGCACTTTTTAAAAGTTTTAAATTATCCTTGCTTTCCCTGACTTTTTTAAAATAAATTGATTGCAGCTCCCCTTCAAGCGTGACGCAGTACCTGTCTTGTGGCCGCTGTAGAGTACACACATGTACATGTACATGTACATGTACTGTACACAGTCATCCTAGTATCATAGTCCTCGTTGTCTCCTGGTTCAGAATCCTATTGGCACTTCCCTTGATATCTACACGTACAGATTTCACCGAAGTGCATCATGGAATATAGAAAATATATTTGACTGTTAAACACTTTTCACTTAATTAAGTAGTGATGGACTTGACCCCACTCCAGAGTTAATTTTGAACTTAAAGCATATCCTGATTTGAATGCGAGTCTTCGACCTTTCATATGTACTGTTTGGTCAATGGTGTACATGTATAAACGGTGTGCCCTGTGACGTTTTGCCCGCTGGTGTGAGTAGGCATAGTATACAAACATTCTCTTTTTCGTTGGCAATAAGCAGTCGGTATTTGCTTTGTACACCTCTTTCACAGATTTTTCTCGTTGGGGAATTTATTCTCGCCGTGCCAATGTATGGCCTGAATTCTCTTTGTTTTGTTGCTTTCAGAATTGCTAAGACAGTGCGTTTTTATATTTATTGGATTCTCTGTACACTTTTCGTAGACTGGGTTCGGCGTTTTCCAATTTCACCTTCCGTTTCAGACTAAGGTATGGTCGCGTTTGAGCATGCGCCGGAATGAATCAGTCTGTGATTGACGCGAATCAGCCTGTGTGCGTGGTCTCTGCTTGGTAGGCATTGCTTCCTGCCAGTTTTCTTGGTGACTCCGCATGGGAAATCATCATGAAAGTATCTGGTATTTGATTGCTAGAGAAACCGTGGCACATAAATGTGCCTGTGATTGGTTATGGCGCGCAGCATGGTGTATGCGCCGGGGGTGTGGGGACCTTCTGCGAGGGCCGTGCGAGGACAACGACAGCCAGACAGGTGGTCTTCGGAGTGCTTGGGCCCACCAAGGCTCACCACCCTGGGACCTTTGCAGCTCACCACGTTTCAAGTTGCTTTACTTTTTTGTTGAAAATATAGAAGAATGTGGCGTAAAGGTTCATGATTTGACTTTTTGGAATGATTTTAGTTATATTTTATGTAACATTCTACTCGATCTTCTTCACAGATCAAACCCCCCTCCCCCCCAAAAAAATAAACCCAAACAATTTGACATCGATTTTTGTGGCTCTCGTTGAAAAGTGCACTTTTAAAAATATGAATAAAGAGTTATGGTTTATTAACAAATGAGGGCGCCGTTTTGGTGATTTTTTACCGGAAGACTACAGACATAATGTGTGAGAAAGACACCGTTCATTTGAAATTTTCTCTTCAAATTTGAACCCCCCAAATATGCGAAAAACGTTTCTGATTGGCCTTCTACCACAAATCGAACTAATAATAGATATCGAAGCAAAAAAAAGAAAGAAAGAAAGAAAAAAAAGAAACCAGCCAAAAAAAGCGAAGTACCAATTGTCATGCAACTGCTGGTGCAGGAGTATACTTGTATATTTATACTTACAACACCAAGGTTTTGCCTTGAATTGTGTGACGGTTTATTATATGCAAATCTGCATTATAATATATATAACAATGCATTGCCTGGGCACGTTAAACTTACTTTAAACCTCCGTAGATTTTGGTTTCTGTTCATACCATTTGGTATCAAAAAGACACTGGTCAGTGGGGTTTACTTTTGGCTATTTTGGATCATTTTCAACAATTTTCGTTCAGGGATCATGGACTAGAGCAAGCAAGCGGATGCCACATTTATGTCACTCATTGAGAGGATTGTTCTGCGGGCCTTCTCATGGGAGGCCACAGGAAGTTGTGAATTGCGTCGGGTTGATTCCTGTATTTTCTCCATGCACTAGTGCCTCAGGTTTTTCAGCTCTCAGTTTCTCGTCCCACGTCCATTTATTCACTACCGGCCTGCATCCCATGGGAAAACACTTAGCATGACTACATTTCACTTGTGAAGACCTCGTGTGTATTTCTGCCGGTAGGCTGTCCATGTCAAAATTGGCCGGCCCCTGCCCGATTTCATCAGTTCGGATTAACTCTCCTGACTGATGGCGGGGAATACATGTATGTATTTTTATGTGGTATATACCGATCTAACCCACAGAGTTTAATGCTCAATAAAGTGATAAATTCGGTTTCACCTTGAACTCCAATTAGTCACTGACATGAGCCACCTGTTCTGTGAATCTCAGTCGTGTCAGTGTGGACGGATCTTCAATCATGATTAAGTCATGCATGCACCATGATTTGGGTCCCGACAAAACTGTTCTCAAATTCCAAGTGTTTACAATAGAGGCTTGAGGAAGTCCTCAACATCATTTTTTAATACCGTGGTACAGAAACGTGCAAGATCTAGAATGAATGTTTAATAAGCGTAGAAAAAAGTTCACCTGTAGGCCCTACCCGAAACTGTCGCTCGATTTCCATCAAATGTTATATTTCACTCAACACAGCTTGATCGAGTCCGACAGTCCGCGTGTGACGGACCGGAAGACCCAGACAGCCTGACCGTGCCAATGACGCTGTTTTCCCCCGACTAGACGGCTGAAATGTTGCGGTGGTTTCGGAGGCGATGGCGTCGGTGGTTGCCGGTGGGTTGTTTAGCCGCGGTGGTGCTCATCAACGCTGTGGTGAGAGGAAAGGCGGGACCGGAGGGCGTCGATGATAAGGCCCGAGCAGCTGGGCTCAAACACCAGGTCATGGGCGTTGCTTCGCCGTTGGCGGCAAATGTGGGGTTCAGGTAAGGTAAATGAAAACATTTGAAAATCGAAGTTGAATCTAGATATAATGGAGTCTAGTAATGGTAGAGCGTCATCTGTAAGTCTTAACCACGCACAAACATAACCAAATAGCACGAATAAAGTAAGGGAAATCAACCTTTTAAACGCGCAGGCATTTTAGGAAATGTTTTGTCGGGGGAGGGGGCTCTTATTTCATTCCTTAGTTTCAGTGTTTTACTTCTGAATTTACTAACTTTTGTTAGAGATGTTAAAGCTTAGCGCGTTGCGTATAATAACAACGTCACATCCTATATCATACAATTTGAAAAATTTTAAATCTGTTTCTGCATTGTTTTTACATTCTTTTATTTTCTTTCACAATCAACCATGTACCTATGACACCAAAGGTCATCGCTTCTATAAGGCTCGTTCAGTTTAAAATTCACGTTTGATCATTCAGGGGGGGGGTATTGATGGAGGGGATTGTGGGATTTTATGCATGGCCTCCACGTACGAAGAAGCTGTTGGCGAGACTTTTTGTATGGTCACCGCAGCAGGCAATCCTTCAAAGTTATTGGTTTTCTGTCACATTTGCTCAAAATCACTGTTCACGGCACATATTTACCACTGGCTGGAATTCTCAGAGACTTAGGTCTTCCTGTACTGTCCCCTGAGAAGAACGCCAGTCGGTGGGGATTGTTTATTAATTGCATTGCGTTCAGTTGAGAGTATCCATAATGGCCAATTCATAAGCGCTGTCAGGAAGATAACATGATACACGATGTATATGTTTTGCCAAGAAAAGGACTGAAATTTAGAAATTAACCCTAACCCCCGAGGATGTATGTAAAATCATATTGAAATTGGAGGATTTGGGGCCGTTAAGGTTAATGTCCAACTGTGAACGTAATTCACAGTAATAGAGAGACCTTGAACCAAATGCACCCACTTGGCATCTGACCGCGAGCTCAGGAAAAGTCGGGAAACGGAAACAAAGCGCGTACACTAGCCTTATTTATATGTTTCGTTTGGGTGAATAACGCATGTGAAGTTGTTTCTGAGCATGCGCACTATGACATCCTAATGACAGGGATTGAAATTGGCTTGCGTCTGAGATGATCTAATAATTGTCTTTTGAATTAAAATGTGGAAAACTATAATTTCTGTCAAAAATAAAGTTACTTTTGCCGGTCTTTGTCCAGACGTGCCTGAGAGTGTGGACCATTGAACAAAACCAGCCTCCATACTCGGCCGCCTACCTGTACCCGAATTAATTCAGGAGGCCTTCAATTTTGTCGTGGTCTTGCCTCAGGCGGAAGACGGCAAGTCACACACGAAGAGTGACATTGCTATCTTCACGATGCTTACTAACCGTGTCGTCTAGTATTAAAACAAGGTCCGGTCTGTACTCCTACAGCCATTAAATTTTCATTGACCAGCAACTTCCTGGCGGCAACCTGGTTAATAACAATGTAGTATACGTTGGTAAAAGTTCTGTATCTCATGCCTGTTTGATGGGCTTGTCTTTGTGTTGTCACAGGAAGAGCCTGCAAGCCTACTCAGAGAACGGCCCTGGGTCCCCAAACAGTGTGGACCGCATCAAGAGTCCAATGAGATCGGACGGGCGCAGCAGTCAGTCCAATCCTGCGCTAGGTCATGGGTCCCCACCATCAGAGCACGGACGGCAGCGGCAGCAAGAGCCACGTTTCAAAATCTTTGTGTACGACCTGCCGCCGCGCTTTAACACCAACCTGAGCGCCTGCGCGGAGACTAACTCGGATGGCTGCTACAAATTCGACAATTTCGGCATGGGGCCAGAGCTGCGGCGGCACGACCACCTGACATATCGCAACACCCACCAACTGTCAACTGAAATCATTATCCATGAAAAAATGCTACGCAGCCGGTACCGAACGCTGGATGCCGTAAAGGCGGATGCGTTCTATGTGCCGTTTTACGCTGCCCTGGCGTGTACCTGCAAGATGAATGCCGACATGGATATGACTGAACTGTATGCGGATTTATGGCGTTCCCTTGAGTCTGCTTCGCCGTACTTTGGAAGCTCAGGGCCCCCGAGGAGGCCACACTTCATGGCTCTGGGAAAAATTGAGCGTGAATTTTGGACAAGCAATTGCCCACTTCTTCGCGATACGGAACGGACAGGTGGGATTACGTTCATCGGCGTGGAGGAGGAAGTGAACGAGGAGTTGAGAAAATATTTCAAAAGAACCAACAAACGAATGATCGTGGCCCCATACCCAAGCTACGGTCACTTCGATTCGAGTTATACCCAGTCTCTTGGGGACTACAGTCGAGCTGCTTTCCCCAGTGATATCGAAAAGACCACGAGAGACGTGCGAATATTCATGGCGGTCGGGAGCCGCAAGGGACACGACGTGCGGGTGATTTTGAAGCGCCAAATGACAGGTACCTCTCGGCGGTACGCCACCTTCACCGCGTCCTCCGGCAAGCAGCGGCGGTACGCGGTGTGGTACAGCACCCCCGAGTGCCGGCGAGACATGCAGCTACCCATTGTGGACTGGATGCGGCACTCAGTCTTCTGCTTGCAGCCTCCGGGAGACTCTCTGACAAGGAAGTCCTTTTACGATGCTGTCATGGCCGGCTGCATTCCCGTCACGTTCAAGCCCAAGAAACGCTCGGCCTCTGTGACCTACCCGTTTCAGGACCAACTTGACTACACGCGTTTCACGGTCAACATACCACTGGACGACGTCTTATCTGGATCCGTTCGTGTCATGGACCGACTGCGGATCATCCCCGAATCTCGCATTGCCGATATGCAGCGCCGATTAGCGGACGCCGCCCCTAAGTTACAGTACTCGCACCCGCCCACGTCTGAAGATGGTGACGCATTTACTAAGATTATGGAACAAATGCAGCGAATAGCAGCATAACTCCCTTCTTGATTGGCACCGTATTCTGTTGCTGTTGCTGCTAATTTAAGGGACCGAGTCAGTGACTGCTTATTTTAGCTCTCAATGGACATAGGCCTACATGTAATGTGATTGCCGAATGACCCAGAGGTCAGTACTTCCGCACGAGCATGTCAAGTGCTCACAGGATGCACAGTGTGCAGTGTATATACGTAAATTGATGATGGAAGTATTAAGCCTTGCTTCCGAGAAGTTTTTAAAGAGATGCGTATGTCACCCAGCGGTCTTGCATGGGGCGTAGGCCTCGATAATGTTGCAGTCAGGTCGTCCTCACAGTTGTGACCTACGCACATTCAAAAGAGAGCAGTGGAACGCCTATTATGGAAGCCTAAGCCAAATAAATCGATGATGTAGGATCAGCGGTGGGCTTAAATCGAACCAGTGACCCACATTTTAGTAAAATTTATCGGATATGGAGCGCCAAACTATCATTCTTACATGTATTATCAATATAATGATGGTGTCATGGCATAGTAAATACAGGATGCTAGTGCGTAAGTGTAAGTGTACGACATGACACTTTAATGAAAATCCCCGTCATCCTATTGGTCGATCTTAGATCACATGTTATGAATTATTTGTCCCGAGGCACCGGAAATTCAGTCCTCGTCGTCCTGTAAATGAACAACTTTGATCCCCGATTTCACTCGTCACCAAGGGTGGTGGAAACGAGCAAAATAATCATTGTTAGATGCACGCGTCGCAGTCTTAATGTGCCTTAATGCAGCTCTTCCGATAAATTCGAAGGATCGTTCCTTTTAAATAGTTCAGGGGCAGGTCCAAGGGGGCGTGGGGGCGCACGCCCCCTTTTTTCACCCCCCCCATAAATAAATATACATGTACAGAGAAGGAGAAGAGGGAGTGGAAGAAAAAGAGCGGGGACCCAGTGTCATAAATGTGACGAAGGCGTAAGAAACAACAGTTGTGCTTCCGGTTACCCAACTTCCTTAATTTTACAGCTGCGATCCTAAAAATTTTAGTTCACGCCCCCCTGTCCCTGTTGGAAAATCCTGGATCCGGTCGGTCTTGCAGCTGAAGAAATATCTGAATGTTGCTAAGAAAAGAATCACATTCTTGTATGCCAAAGCATCCGAGGAAATAGCCGAAAAAACATTGTCTGGGCTATAGAATCTGTTGCTGATTTGGACAACTTCTTGTCGCGATTTTACGTTGGAATGTGAGAAGGGAAAACGGAAATTTACAAATCAGATTAGGAGGATTTAAACCAAATAATGTTTCCCTTGCTTGAAATGGAAAGAATAATTTCATTCGATGGAGGTTGTCAGCTCATGAAATTAGAAAGGTGCACATTTTACTCCGTAAAACGAAATTTAAAGTTGAGAAATCCACCTTGGTTTTAAGTTAGTGACGAGGCAAAGAACATAGTGAAATTGTAACCTTTGGAACTCAAGCAAGCCTTTCCAATTCCCCATTACTTGACGATGGTAGACATATTGTCCCGTATACAGGCGTTCATAATGAAGTTATAAATTCTTAATTCATCGGTTGGAAAACGTTCAAAACAAATTTCAAGACGCTATTCCCACTACTAAACGTGACAAAGTTGTCAACAGTCATGCTTCACTTTAAGTGTGACTTGCTTAGATCATGCTTTGATGTCTGAGCGTCACTTCTATTTTCGCACTTAAGCAGAAGACAAGCAAGATAACTTGGTTATCTGCTCGACCGTTGCAATTTGTTTTTCACTTTTGTATCTGACATTCAGTTCATGAACCAATCACTTGTTTCAATCGGAATTTGTCCAGTTTGCACATAAGGAGGTCCCAGTCATGTTTTGTTTCTGTCTAGCCTCGTCGCCACGTTGGGAGAGAGAATAGAACGTCAAGTGCAGTCAGTAGACGATGAGTCATTGTCTCTATCAGATTACCCCTAACTCTATGAAATGCTTGGCTGTTACCTTGATACATATCGACCCAATGTGCGCCAAATACAGGATCGAATACTGCCATATTGTCAACGCCTGAAGTGCCAACTGTATAAATAACAAGCAGTTCGAATTTGACCGTAACATACTTTACGCTGTGCCAAAAATAAGTGCACGCTAAATCTGAAAGATAAACTTTCTATAAATGCATGTAATAGTTTTGAATTTCTATCTCCTTATTTTGTCTAACATGAAACGAGTTTTCAAATATTAGAATACATGTACATGTATATCAAAGTATCCATGGACCTGGGATTTTTTTAGTTATGCTGTCTTTACACCTTATTATATAAGGTACATATTTACTTGCTTTCTTTCTGTTGTACCAATGGAAAATGGATTCAAATAAAGATTTCAAGCTCATTTATTTATAATGTTGGTAGTTTCTGTTGTTGGATGTTCAAGAGTTTTATTCGAATGCAGGGGTCTCAAGCTTTGGGGTAAAAATCTTTGGGGGCAAAATAAATGTCTAATATTTCTAAAAAGAAGGTTGTCTAGAAGTAGGGGGATCCAAACCAAAATGGAACAGTTAAAGAGAAAAAACTTGGAGACAAGATCCCCTCCCTGGTGTGGCATGGTCACCAACTAAGGATGTAAATAGAAGGGAAAATGTGGTATGATTATTTTAGTGAAACTGCGAAATGCCTCGTCCTATCAGCACAGACAGTCGCATGCATGATGGTTAAGGCAGTGGCGAAACGTGAAATTTCTGAAGGGGCGCCAGGGTGCACTCGTTTTTTTTTCAAAGGGGCACTGAAAACAAACATACTGTGGCTTCAGTGTGCAGAAAAATCACGAGGGGGATCCAGCTTGGGGCCACGGACTTTCGAATGCCACTGCTTTTAAGACGCGTAAACTGACAACATTGTTGTGGTACTTCAAGTACTTCTACGTGCATGTAACCCGTCAAAAATTAATTAGCGATCAGACTCGTAGGCCCTTGATAAGCGAATACTCCGCACATTGAAAAGGGTATGCACTCTGAGACATCTTGAAATGTACGGGCTGAGTTCAAGAGGATGACGGGTTATGATCGAAATAACCCTACTTGAGGGATGTCTCTCATCACCTGTTTCCTGTTGTTTCTGTTCAGCTGTTTAAGCCGATCCCTAGTGGCGCTCAGGGGAGGTTGAAACCGAAACGTGGAAGGGATGCATAGTGTCGGAAAAGTCAAGACAAAGCAGGGACCGTGAAAATTAAATGAAACAGTGAACGGTAGAAGAAAAAAATGCCACATCGAGGGTTTGTTGTGAAGTGTTCGATCGAAGGGTGTGTTTTTTATCCTAACATCGAGGAGGGTTTCAGCTAGTCTTGCCCAAGACTGTTTTTTCTGTTTCGGCTGACTTACCCGAAAAATTCCGAGCATACCTTACGCGCTTAAATATATGGGTTTTTACACTTTGCAGCCATCTTAACCTCGTTCTGAAGTTGCGATGAGAACAACCAGCCAGAGCGGTATCATGCGCTGTACATCGCACAAGTTGACAAACGTACGATTGTCGTCTCCACGTCGTAGTTGTACAGTCACATTTCACCACTCTCTGGAAAGCTTATGAAGTAGGCGGGATCCGATTGCGATTTTTGATTCAAACGTTTTGAACAATAGAGGGCTCCCTACATATATCAAAGTCACACATACAAATTATTCCCGTTTTCCCAGTTACATGTAGCATCGATTCAGTTTATAAGGCTTCTACTGATCCTCAGCATGTTGTTTGCATTTATAATAGGTTCCTGGCATCACTGCTCCCACGCTTGTTTCTTGCCATGAAGGCAAACCACGCTGGAAATGGTGACCATACTCCGCCCCAATCAAATGTCCAAACTCTGTATTAAGTAACATCATGTCTGTCGTCTTACATGTGTTTCCTTGTCTCTTCCTTTATTACAAAATTCAATTAAGGATGTACCAATCTGCTCTGAATCACAAGTTCACGCCAATAACTGAGGGTTGCACCAAAATGACAAATCTCAACCAGCCAAGTTTGTTTGCTTGTTCTTTTTTACTGTAGTCAATTGAACTTCCATCCACAGTGCAGGTCAGTTATTCAAGTAAACCCAGAGAGATATACAAAATCAAAACATGAAGATCTTTCTTTTACTGACATTACATCAAGTACATGTATATCTAGACATAAATGTGGTCCACAGTTATCCTGTCGGTACAGTTGTGACAGTCATTAGCTCTGATCTTTATAAGTTTACTCCACTGTCAATGTTCACCTAGCCCTTAGGGTGTGTGTCAAATCACACTGGAATTGGAAAATATGAAACTGGTAGGGATAAACTATAAAGTGCAACTCGCTGCATAGAATGCCCATTATGTATGCCAAGTTAGGACTGGCACTGATGCACTTGTCTTCTATGTCCTTTCATAAAGTAGGTGTGCTAGGGTAAACCTTTACATTTCAAAAAGGGGGAGATTTGCTTTTCAAAGAATAACCGTTAAAGAGAAATAGCTCACACACACGGGCTGCACTGTTTGACATACAAATATCTTTTATGCCATGTAGGACTTGTATCACAAAATTGATTGATCATGTGTCATTATTTCTGTGCTACATGCCATTTGAACTATGATTTCTGTGTAGTTGTAGAAAAAATGCAGAAAAGGGAACAGATAGAAAAAGCAATGCATCATGTCACATGAATGATATTCAGTTGGGTTCGTTTTCAACCTATCATTAATCCAAACAGTTATTGAGTTGACAAGGCGGTAGCCACATGAAGTCTGGTCACAGGTCCAATTTCGTTCCACTGTAACAGCACACTTTAACTAGCAACTGCAGTAGTGAAGAGGTACAGCAACTGTGCACAGTACCTGCATCTATCACATTCCTGGTTGGGCAAGATTCGAGAATTGTACTCATGGTAATCGTTCTCCCCTTGTCCCGCAGCTTCATTTACCAAATTATTTGCTTAACAAGTCTCCCAGGATGATTGTTTGCCTATGTTGATGAAGCATTCCTGTTAAAAAAAAATAAAAATAACAAGTCAAGTTTGTTGATTTCATAGCTTTAAAGGAGGCATACTGGCAGGTTTCATTATTACCCTGTCCAAGAAGAAGCTGGAAGTTCACATAAAAAACTTCAATCATGAGCAATTTTCTCTGCTTGATCTCACACATGAATTCCAATGCTCACAAATGGATAGAGTTGCATCCATGCAAAAGCCATTTTACTTTTTTCCCCTGATGCTATGGTACTGAGGCACTGGTCGCAGGTCACATTAATGCCAACCTCATGTAATTTTGTACACAATATTTCCCAGTATTGCAGATTAGCTGGGGACAATTGCACTTATAGCAAGAATGACACTGTAGTTTACGCACCCTTAAATGAAGAAAATTATCCAATAAAATTCAGGACCACAAGGTGAAGAATGATGCTACCAAAGATGAAATCTGCAAAGGCACGTTCTGGAGAGACATTTCTGAAATCTACTTTGTTGGCTGGGTTGACTTGAAGCCGTAGGCAAACTGGATGTGACAGATGAAACAACAAGTGAAATTACAATATCATTTCTGTAACAGTCAATACAATTTGAAATCATATATTAAAATTATTCAATACGTTTCTCATGCTGACTCCCTTAAGACCTCTTTGCATATTAAATTTTCACACAATGTGACCACCAGTTCTTGAACTTAGCCCTGTAGGTCATGCCACAATTAATAAACCTTTGTTGACATGCTCATTGCATCATGGGAATGGATGATAAACAAACCACACACTTTAAGCATGAACTAATGGGGAAGAGAACCAGTCAAACATAAAGAAACTTCTCCTGCAAAATCCCTCTCAAGTACCTCTTCATTAAGTATCAGATGCATGCATAGTATACAAGAAATATTTTCAAAGGAAAAAGTCAATGAGCTTCAAATCCATATGGTGAGTGAAGACAGACCTGGAGATCATGGGGAAGGAAGGCTCCACATTATTTCTTCTGTTAAGCTTCAAAATTCAACTTTGTGAAAATATGAATCTTTATCCCAAATCTACAATGCAACATTACGAGCAAAGGGGGTTATAAGGCAATGTAATAAGCATGATAAAGTGAAAAGTACTGGTGAATATTTAGCAGGTATGCCTACAACACTTTTCCATAAGAAGAGAGATGTTCTTTCCATTTTTTTTGCTCCTGCCTCTGTGGTGTGCACATGGTACATGTCCTAGATATTTTAAATGTGGTAAGTTATTATGACTTTCCCTGAATGAGGCTACGTTTGAATATAAAGCAAGGGGGTGGGGCTGGGCCTTTGTTTTTCATGAACAAATAATAACTAATTTCAATATGTTCAATGATTGAAGCTTGGCCAGTCATGTTAGTGCAGGCTTGTGGTCATATTGTTAGAGACATGCATAAATGAGTGAGGGCGCTGTTCATTTAGGAACACATTTTCTTACATGAAATTGCGATTGAAATTTATCTTTTTCTGCATGCTCTAGCTTCGTCTAATGAAATTCCAATTTTAAAATTTTGAAATTTCAAGTGAAGTCAGCACTTAATTCATTGAAATAAGGCATGAATGAAAACAAACACTATATAAAAATATTAATTTTAAGCTTGTCAGTCAAAATCCACACTCATTTTTGTGAACAAAGTAATGAAAACATGTACACAAAACACCCCAAAACATTTCAAAACATCCCTGCTTCAAATCAATATTTCTTTGCTTTCCAGAGTCACTGAGAATCCAAATTTATATTGGAATGTTTGTAAAACATCCTCTCAAAGATCACTTCAAACAGAAAAAATATTTGAAAAATTTATGAGCCCCCCTTCTATTGTAACGATGTTACACGTCATGGGTAAGTAGCTGTAGGCCTAGGCTATGGTATCATGCCCAGATGCCATGGTCCATGGGATTGTGCACAGGGGCCAGGTATCATGATGTCTGTTGCGTCCATCAATGTTGTCCATGATATGGAATTCTTTCCGTGATCTGAATCTTAGCTAAAAAGTGGAAGAGGAGAGACGGTGTACAACTTCACTGTACTGTAAGTCAACCACCCATGAACTTGCTTGGCCTATGACCATGACTGTATGCTGATTTACCTCCTAAAACGAATGATCCGACACACGAGATGAAACCGGACAGAAACGAATTGAAGGGGAATGTTCCCACGAGGACACAGTACACAAACTGTACGATTCCGGTCAGCATGATGTAAGCCAGATAGGCATCGATGATTTTAAGCTTCTGCGAAGTCTTGTTCATGTACTCATCATAGAATTTACCGAGAACGGTGAACAGTTCAATGGCCATTTTGAAGTAATTTTCAGGCTTTCGATTACAGAAAACCTTGTTGTACCGAAAAGTACGTGTACGTGTGCAACATCAGAGTACCGGATGTAAGTTGTGCATGATGGGAAGGCTGTAAAACTATTAATATTAATTAATAGCAGTTTTGTGGTTTATGTCTTTTTACAGACACAAGAGGAAACATACAATATGTAAAATTCAATTTTGAAATTAAAATACTTGGTTTCTGTGTTTATGAATAACAAATAAAAAGTTTATTCAGTCTGGGGCCGAAGAAATAAAATATTATTGTACGAGGATACCTGTCTGCGTCGTCTGCAATAACTGCTTTGTGTTAAGATTTAAACTTTTCTGTCAGATCATTGCGTTGTTGCTCTGTTGCAAAAAAATTAATAAAATAAAAACGCAGTAGATTCTGCAGAGAACACATCTTATTGATTTATTACAGAACCTCATGGCTCTATTCTTTTGTCGTTTTGATTGATTAAAGTTCTTCTGTCTGTCCTCAAGACTAAGCTAACATCTAGAATGCGTGTTTTGGACAAATTCCTCATGGTAAACAAAGTCAGACAGACAAATCAGACAGAAGAGATGACATATAGGACAAATCTGTGCCGGAAAGGGGGTGGTGGTGAAGGGGGGGAAGATGACTTTCCGGGCCATGAAAATTTGAAAAGGGGGGGGGGGTTGACACCATGACTCTATGTAGAGGTTGATGTTCATGATATTGATGTACATCTGTAATTTGCATTTAGGATATATTTATGGCTTTTGAAATAATTGTTTTCCCCTTTTTGAGCGGTACTGAATGTATTTTAGTCAATGGAAGTCTGAAAAACTGTTTACAATCCACCTTGTTTGCTCACTAAAAACAAAGTGTGGGGGGTGATTCAATTTCACACCCCCCCCCTCAGAAAGTTAGGGGATATATACCCATCCCCCAGATTTACACCCATGGTACATGTCGTGTTATTAGAAGCCCTCCAGCTTTATTATCTGATTAAAAACACTAAGTTTCAAAAACGTTTGACAAATTCAACAACAAAATACAAACAAGAAATAAACAAATTAGTCTCACCTCAGTGACATTTATTTTTAAAACTTAGAAGAATACTGAAACTGAATGTAAAAGTAAAATATAATTCTTTGCGAAAGAGCAATCTTTACAGTTATTTTCACACACACATACTTTGTTGCTTCAAATGAAAAGTGCATAATTGCTTTGAACAGGTCATCTTGACTGGGCATTTCAAAGATTTGCAGAAAAATTGGCGTGAAAAGTATTCAAATTGTTTTTTACACCCCAGGTTGGTGTTTGGCTAATTTTCTACTACATCTGAGTCCTACCTAAACTTGATAAGGGGATAACCTGCTCACCAATAATTTATGATTTCAATGTTTAAGTTCAGAAGATATATCTCAAAAGATGAACACCGCTAACAGAACAAAATCTCCTGGAAAGATATTTGCTGAATACATCAGGTGACATGTCTTTTCTGAGTAGCCCAGACGCAAAACGAGTTGAAAGATCAATTTCGACATTTCTGACAGTTTCAGAACTCCAACACACCATCAATCACAACTTCAGTTTAAGTTACCCTTTACCATTTCCCATTTAGTTGAGTTCTCTGACCCTGTGATTCAACTGTACAATGTATTGTTGATTTGTCTTCTCAAATACTTTTGTAAGGTCTGAATTTTTCACAAATGGTCACAAGTCCAGCAATACAAATTTATGCAGTCATCCACACACAGCTAAGCCCCACCATGATGGGCATATGTTCAATCTGACAAGACTTCGCTACATTACAGACTTGTGTGATATCCCCACATTGAAATTCCTCAATGAAAATTTGGATAGGTATAGTCAGGATAAGGGAGTCAGGCTGGCGTAGTGGATCTTTCCTTGCCCGTCAACTCTGCGGCTTGAGTTTGATTCCTGCTTCCGTCCACTTGTGGTTAGGGTTTTCAGTCCCTACCCGATTCCTCAGTATTCTTCTAGAGGTTTTCCTCACACATCTAAACTGCAACTGCTTCTGAGGCTGCATCCGAATCTCTTGTCTAGAGCTAGATCTAGGTCTTCGCTCCATTGAAAATGCGTGGAGACGCGTAGACAATAGACCTAGCCGTAGCTCTGGAAGCCCGTTTCGGACACAGCCTCACTGTCTCTTCTGTACTGATTTCTTCAGCCTCACAAGCTACAGCCCCAAGGAATACTTGGTTTCACTACAAGAAATGGTTAATACTTGCTATGTATTAGCTGTATAGCAGAAAAACATGTATGCTTTGAACATCTTGTTTTTTGCAGAGGTTTAGGGGTTATCCATTTCTTTTAATTTCATTTTTCAGTTTTTTGAAAAGCATGCACGGGCTGTTAACCCCTGGAAAAATATAGAGTACTTCCTTTGTCCCCCTCCTCTCGTAAATTGAAGAACTTTGTGTCGCTTGACACTATGACTAAGCCCATTTACTCTCCCCTTTACAAAACTGAGACCCAGCAAACTGGCTCCTAGAATCCCTCTTTCTTGTTGGCTACCCTATCTCTGCATATTTTCCTCTTACAACAGCACCCTGTCCCTCCTCCAAACATCAACTTGTTCCTCCCCTGCACTGATGGCATCCTTGAAGTCCAGCCTCAGGCTATGCCTCAGGCAGTTCTGGTTCTTCAGTCAACAGCTTGTAGGCTGACACATTGTCCTTCCTCACACACAAGGTTATGCCTGACTGGTAGGCTGCTGGTATGCTAATGTGGCTTTTGAACAGCCAATCAGCAAGCAGGCCTGCTGGACGACTCTCAGGAGAGTGGCTGTATGGCTCAGGCTCACTCAGCATCTTCTTCACTTGACCTGTATACAAATTTAGGAATGATTTACTTTACATACCATATCATAGACTGTATTCTAGTGGCCACTCTTCAGACAAATTTTGGTCCTTCATAAAATTTATGAAGGACCAAAATGTCTTTTGTCAGCTCCAAATGAAATCTATAGTTAAATTTATGACAAAAAAAGATACCTTTTAATTCTACTGCGACAAGTACCTTTTTCTTTTCCCTACAGATAACCTGGGCAGTATCCTTTAGGAAAAACAGTATTCCTGAAACTATCCTATTAAGAAACAAGGAATTTGGATACCTTCAACATCCATATTCTGCCATCTTGGATCATCACGCTGGGAGAGAACAGACAAATCGATGCCCTCTTGCCACCGGCTGATAACATCCACTCTGCGAATCTGTTTACGACAGATACATCATACCTAACATTTCAACTGGGAATAAAATGAATTCAGAGGGCTTGCACTAGACAAGATGATCTGATGGATCGTTTGAATGCAAAATTCAAGTTTGAACCGACTGACAAATGTTTGTTTTGTAAGCAACAAATTAAGTGCACTGTGGCAAAATGTTGGGGTTTTCAAGCAACTTTGAAATGTCTGTGGCAAATTCTGCACGCTGTTCAGGTGTACAAGATAGAGAAGTTTAATCAAATTTTAGGGTGTATTTGGGTGTAACAACCAGAAGTTGGGCCTGACTACTAAAAACCAAAATATACAACTTTACCAAAAGTACTGAGTCACTGTTTGTGTACTTGATGAAGTTGGGGATTGTCTCCACAATGAGTGGGTTGCACATGTGCACGCCTTCGTTAGTGACGCCATACACCATCTGGTGATGCCAAGCATCAGGAATGTTGCTGTCACTCACTCGCTGGAGGTTGAGTGTTGCTATGGGAACTGCTCCTACAATTAGGAAGGAAAAGAAATGGAAATAATTTTTTTTAATTTGATGTAGGATCTGGATGTGAGGTTTCAAGTAACTGGCATTCGCAGTATGTCTTTAATGGAATGACTGATCATAACCTGTTTGTGACGTTACACTCATTTGCAACTAATGTACTATTTCAAATTTTTTTCATACTTTTGAGAAAAAAAAAGAACAAAACTCATGATTTTAATCTTTTTAGCTTGGCAATGGAATTTATATTGTAGCAATCTACCAAGCCCTGTGAATCTAAACTTTTTTATTAACTTAAAAGTGTTTAAATAGTAACATCAAGCATTCATGTGTAGAACTGATTAGTAAGCATAAAATCCTGTAAAAGGTTTTCTGAAAAGTGGGGAAGGGAATATACCATAAAAGTAGGTTCCCACAACAGTTATTCTTTGCAAAAGTCAATAGATCATAGTTTCCCCACAACATTTATAAGAAAGCAAGCAGTAACGAAATACTTATGACTTATGTGATTCCCATTACCTTGATTAATCCAGCCAGTCAGCCAGCTCGGTAAATTCACCACCCTCTTTGGGTACAGGTGGAAGAACCTGGAGAAGACCTCTCCACCTGAAGCCTTTTCCAGGCCTTCAATAATATCGGCATGTGTGACTCCGGCAATGCTACGAGAGAAGAGGTACTCGGGCAGTGGGGCATTGTTAGCCCGTAGCCTGGTGTTGACGGCTGATGCTATCTCCTCTTGGTCTTTCTCAATCTTGAGAACTTTCTGAAGGAACAATAATCTTGTTGCAATTCTGCAAATGCAATGTTTGTTATTTTGGTGCACAGCGTCAACAGTGTACAAAACAGTACTGATGAACTTCATTCCATTCAAAACTTCTGATGGGATTTTCTTCAGTTATTTTCATTTAGGTTAAAATGAATTTCTCCATGAGGTGGGGTGCATGCCTTTGGGTTGAGCACAGGGTGAGGTTGAACTTGAAGATATTTCAAGTCAAATGGGCCTGAAACCAACTTAGTCTGTGTCAACTCTGTACCTGGCCAACTTGGTACCAATGGGAAAATGTAAGCAGTTGCAGGAGCAAGTGGGACTAGGGACCTTGTTAACTCAGAGGTGGTTTTTAGACCAAGTTGACCTGCACCTGTTGCAGTCTGGGTTGGTGATGTAATTGTGCTGCCTTTCCTTGGAGAGGGCACCTCTCAGTGCAGAATGCAGAGAGGCAGAATGGGGAGCCAATGGCAGATGTGGGCAGGGGAAGGCAATGGGGACTGTATGGCCCTAAAGTGGCTGATTTTTTTCCCTGAGAAATAATGGGAAAAAAAGCAATTTTGCCAGACCTGTTCAGTCCCTTTTCTTCCCAAAGCCACATCTCAGACAGGTCATTAAAAAGTTGCATAAAATAAAGAAATTTCAACATTTTTGGCTTCAAACACAAGTTTGGACCCCCCTCCAAAAAGATTCTGGATCTGCTCTTGTGAAGAGCTCAACAAATGGACTTACTAGTTCTTGAAATAGGATGGAAATAGTGGGTGTGGCCTAGGCATACCCACAAACTGGGGAGTGTTTTGACGGTACAATCACCTGGCAATGTCCAAAAATGCCCAAAGTTAATTTAAAGAAATTAGCCAATTATTGCCCTATTGGTTGGGCAAGGACTTTCCCTATATGGTATATTATTTACTTTACCAGTGTATTTATGACTGCCGTTGCACCACATGCCGAGGCTCCGATCTGAGTGACTTGCTTACTCGTAGCTTCAGCTAATGTCCAATGAAAACCACTGTGTCCTGCATCCCCCATCTCACAACCAGTGAACCACTAGGCTCACCAGTGCAACGAAAAATCTAAGGAATTATAGAAGAAATTGATCTAAATTCTCAGGCAAACCAAGAATTTCAATAGGTTTTGCTAAGTCCTGTACAGTGTATTTAAACAACTCTTCGCGCTTTACACAAGCCAGTTAATTATCATAACGTCGTCGAGAGTGATGACAACTGCTCATGTCATTAAGGCTGAAGAAGTTCTGTCCGTGAATGTACACTGTACATATGTATATGTACTATGTAGCTCAATGGTTTATTTGTAGTCTGGTACCTTCATATCGTAAATGATATCGCATGATATCAATTAGGACCCAGACGTGTGAACACGGGGATACTGAATGCACAGAACGTGAAATACTCGTTGCCTCTAAAATCTCTTTTGTAAAACAACTGTTAGAAGAGAAAACATAATCTTTACAGAATCCTTAGAGCCATTTTTGACGGGTAATAACACCAGCTCAATTTTCATTTCTTTAACGAGAAGGTGAGTCATTCAACACAGAGACCGGAGGCCCCAAAATATTAATATGCCTGAGGCCGAAGTCTGAAATATCCTGTCCTGAATGCTTGCGCTGCATAGGCTGCTGCATTGCCTGGGCGGTGGCACTACGTTTGTTTCGGTGATTAGGTTTTTTTGGGGGGGAGATGGGATGGATGTTGGGAACCCTAAACCATGCCAAGCCAAGGAGGAATAAAATACATGCAGACATGTGCTACGATCTACCCCAAATATTTCAATTTTAAATCAGCTCTTTACTACGGCCTATGGCATTAGGCATGGTAGGCCTATACGGTATGCTGCAGGAAATTTACCAGTAAGCCTAGCCAGTAGGCTACTTCTCTTCTTGTGGTCAATGGTGGCTCCGGCTCTGGAGGATTTCTTGAAAGGGAAAAATGTAAAATAAATACAGTCCAGTAGGTTTGGCCATGGTTTGACCATATGCCGACTGTCTGAATTCTATCTCGTGAACATGGAAATCACGATAACAAATTAAGCAAGAAACCTGATAAAGATTTCTCATTCTCATTGATTATAACATTTCTAAGTCCTAAACAGTTGCTGAGCATGTCCAGTTAGTGGTTCATGCTAAAATATACACTGCCATAATAAAAGGCAGTGAACAAAATGAAGATTTTTTAACACCCCAGGGCATGCCCACCTCGTGATATTTGCTAAATCAAAAGTTAAAGTTCAACCCACAGTCTGCCTCCACAGACCTCCAAGGCTTTGTGTGTGTGCTCAAAACAAATTGGGGATCAGCATGTGTAAATGTTAGCCGGAAGTGGGTTGAGGCATTCTTGATATTTTTAACACGGTCAGGCATGTCCTCCAGTACAAAGTGGTTAAAAAAAGTGTACCCAGGGAACCTATTACATGCCTGGAAAAGGCTTCAGGTGGAGAAGTCTTCTCCAGGTTCTTCCACTTGTACCCAAAGAGGGCGATGGATTTATCGAGCTGACTAGCTAACTGGATTAATCTAGGTCATGGGAATCACATGAGACAACTGGGACCCTTTGAAATCTTTGGTCGCAGTCACAGACCAGAATTCAAACTTGTTTCTTGCTTCTATTGGTGATGAGTGTAAATATTAATGCAAGGAGGGAAATATTGGAGGAATTTCATCCAGTCTGATGTGTAGTTTGCATGTCACTTCTTGTGCTCTTTCTATTGTGCTGAATTCAGTAGCCTGGCTTGCATACGCTGAGGTCCGTCATGCCTTCAGTAGGATCCATCATCAACTATGTTGTGATTGGTCTATTTGTGTCCTACCTCATCCATGTTTCCTTGGTGATGTTTCACCTGTTTAACCCCGAGCAATGCGTACCGACGAGTGGCAAGGGTTCCTCCACTTGCATCACGCCGTACATTGGCAGGAACCCTAAGCTGCAGGTAAGTTGTCCTGCCCTATTAATGCGGCCATATGCCGACTCACATGCTGCTCCTCTCTTGAGTAACTTTGCCGTTTTGGATAACCAAGCTACATGTATCTCGCTCGCGCTGACTAGGAGTACTCATCACAGTTAATACACCTGGTGAATCTGCATAGGGTTCCCAGCCATCCAGTCAGTCAGGAAAAGTCCGGGACTTGGGAAAAAAGAGAATTTGATTGTCCAAAAGAGAAAGTGGTCAAACTGTAATTTTTTGTACTATGTCTAAATAGCATTTCCAGTGACAGATACCTCTTTGGCTAAAAACCTCGTCCCACAGCTAGCTTGCTCAATTTTTGCATTGCTTAGCACAGTTTCATGTTTAATGGCTTTTCAAATGGCACCTTACCTTTTGCCACAATTAACATGAAGACCACACGCTCACAGCAATTTGCCAAGAATGGCTTCTCGCATGGCACCTTACCTTTTGCCACAATTGACATGAAGACCACACGCTCACAGCCATTTGCCAAGAATCTAACATAATCTGGAACAGACCTGACTACTTCGGGTTTGAATAACGGACTGGATGCTTTGCATTTTCGTGACAGCTGAGTCTTTACACCTCAGTCAAGATGAGGAAGGATCTGATTGAGAAGGACCTGAGTCTTGTTGCACAGTACAAAAACTTCACCATCGATGAGGAGTTTGACAGGTGAGGATGAGGCAATGGGCAAGTTTGATCAGCAGCAGTTTGTTAACCACTAGTCAATTTTCCCTGATGCCCAATATACATTAAATGCATAGTTACCAGTCAAAGTCACGTGTGTACTTATCCATCCAGAGTTTTAATCAGGTCATCATAGTCAGTCACAAGTCATTCCGTTTCATGTCAAGTCACAAGCTACTGAAATGAACTGTGACAAATTTCATTTCTCTCAGTCTGTTCTTTGGCACTGCTAATCATCCATTTACTCATAAACTGTCTTATAGTGTATGACTTACATGTATGGTTTGACTTGCGATTACCTAGAGGACAATTCTGTAGCACTGAGCCTCCATGGCAAATCAAGGCAGTAGGTGCATTGGTTCTATCCTTGCCGTCCAGTTGTGACAACCATTCAAATCCCACCCTGTGCACTGTGTGATTTGTGTTAAAGGCAGTCCCTCTTTGGTTTCATGGTATTTCCACAGGATTAATTGTCTGGTTTTCCTTTACTTAAAACCAACTACTTCTTTTTAACTGGGCCTAATTTCAAGGCTTTTGCACTCGCGAAATTCCATTTCAAATAAGATTTGTCTGTACTCAAAGCATATGTGAACAAAATCTTTAGCAAGTGCATAATCCAAATTCCTTCATAATCCATGAAATACATGTAGGCTATTCGTTCGTACAAAATTATTTGTTAAATTTGCCAAGGATTCTTTGCTTATAATTTTAGTGGTACTTGGGGGTGCTAATGGATTTCCTTGCTGAAGCAGCGATTGAAATACCCCAGATAAACAGGAAGTGATTGAAAATAAAATGATATCCACAAATTTTGCAAGTTTTGCAAGTTCCATGGCTGTCTTGGAAGCTGCGTGGCTGGGAATCAAGTGATCAAAAATCCTCAACAAAAATCATTTCATTTTTTTTTTCAGATCAGTCAATATAACCTTACCAAAGAAAACCAGGAACAACGGAACACTGTTTGTGCATGTCTTTGTGCACCCCCGAGGAAAGTCACCTTTTCACAGTAGCCTCTCCTCTTATCAGTCCGCCCCTCTCACTAAGTATGCCCCACCCAGAATGGAGGAGTACAATCTACTCAGTGATAGCAGCAATGTGAGTTGTTGAATTGAGTTTTCTTTTTACACAATTATTTTTTGCCGCAAGGCAAACTTTGGAAGTTAATTGTTTCCTTACAAAGTGTACAACTGATATTTTTTCATTTGCAAATGCATTTTATTAGACTTGTGGTTCTTGTGATTTATATGTTTAATCATTCACTTTTGGAGTAACTTCAAACATACATGTATGACTCATTGTGAGCTTAAATATAGCACAGGAATTAATATAACTGATGGGGTTACTTACATGTACTAAATTTAATTTATGTTAAAAACTGGTATTAAGCCTTTAAAAATAATACAGCAGTAATTTACTAAGGGAATAAATATGTGCTTAGCCAGTGCAAGATGGGCTCAGAAGAATGAAAGCGACTAGTGCCCTAGCCACAGATGAGGGCATTATCAGCATTTATTCCTTTGAGCCTGTCTTAAAGTTTGTTGAAGACTGGCCAAGCACATATTTATTCCCATTCATAAATACCATTTTAGTCAGAAAGTCAAAGGAAATCAATATATGAACATTTTTGAAATGGAATGGATTCGGCTTAGACTTCAGTTTCACTGGTTCCAGTCAGAGCTGGAACATGTGGTTTTGAATGCTGCTTCCAAGTGGCTAGAACTAGCGAATCCAAAGTCCGAGCCGAAATAAATTTCCAAGGATTTTGTTCAAAAATTTTATTCTCAGTTCCCCAACTACCCCTGTCTGTTTAATGGCATATTCCTTGTGCAAGTAGTCCAGAAGAACCTCCTTATATGGACTTGGCGCATACATTGTGAGCCTCTCGCACACAGACTCTTGACCAATCAGAATCAATTAAACCGTCTCCTATCCAGGTGTGAGAGCGTGATTTACGCAGCGGGCATTATCACATCGCATTAGGCATTACCAAATGTCTGTACACAGTCACATGATGCACTGTTGAGTAGGGAGACTGTCTGAGGTATTTGTGAATCACATTTAAAGTATTGGTCCTATTTTATGACCACCAACCAGAAAATATGCAAGTAGCTTTTTGCATCAATGCATTTTAATGATTGACTGTCTCCACGTACTTGAAGTTACCAAAAAATTGCAAGAAGCAACTGAATATGGCATTGGTCTGTGAAATTGCAGGAAAATTCATCAAGTGAGGTGCCAGTGACACATTGGAAAAACAAAGTGGTGATCAGTGTTCTACAGGACCAGCTGTCAATGCACAGGCATGGTGTGCCACAAGAAATCTGGCAGTATGTCAGGTAAAGAGACACCCTTACCAAAGTGATTTGCCTGCCCCCATCCCCCAAGAAGTACTTGGAGTAAGTACTTACACAGCTGTATTGGCCAAGAAATAGGGTGTGACTCAGTAATGTCCATGTCATGTCAACGTAGCTTAACCACTTGCTGCCAGGGAACCCCGTTTCAAGCACCATGGGTTTATATGCAGAGCCGGGGTGCCTGAAATGGGACAAAAGAGCTGGGCCGTGTAACAAAAGACTGTATTCGGAACAAAACCCTGCTGCTGAGCATTACCATCATTTTTCCTCTTGCATTTTTCGAAGGTAATCGGTCACTGTTTTTAAACAGTATACCATTGTTTGGGGCATAGTAGGCCCGTGGATTAGCACCGCGGACAAAAGTGCTCCAGGGCCCCATTGATGAGCGACACAGCACCACTGCAAGCTAATCCAGCCCCGTTTGAAAAGACGCCACTCGCATTCACTGGGGACAAAGGAAATTACGCAACACCTCACAATTCTTCCTTACAGGGTGGCAGGCCCAGCTGAAATACTAAGGAGTCAATGAAGGTGCCTGTCAGCTTAGAGTAGCCACCAAACAGTCATTCGTGTGGGTGTAAACGTCCATAAAATGAAATGATGAATTTTTGAAGAATTTTGAAAAACTGAAAATCTGGAAAATCTCCCGTATGTACTGTATTTTTAAAAGCACCCAGCAGCAAGTGGTTAACCCCTTTGCGCGGGTAATTCTTTTGACTGTGACTGCTGGGCTGTGATATGCCCTGAATGGAGGGCTTTGTCCATCAGCAGGCCCCATTAAACCAGCAGCTGCCTGGTGAATAGACTGTATGTGTGGTATGCACTAATCCTCTCACAAAGCAGCGGCTGTGGACGATTCCTGGTGCGAAGGGGTTAATCAGCAGGAAACTATTTTTCTGAAATGTCACGTGTCTTTTCATAGTTGCAACAGTCGTCATTTGCATTGAACCATACATGTACAGCCCTCCACATTCTATCGCACCTTATCAAGTAGGTTGTACTATTTTTTAAGTTAATATCCTTCATTTGGTCCTTCAAAATCCTCCAAGTAGTTATGGAGGATGTTGTAGGATTCAGGAAGGTGGAACACAGCCACTTTTTCTTTACATGGGGCTTAATGAATGTACCATTTATGCAAGAAGTTTGCCATCAAAATAGCCGCTTTCTCGTACTTATTTTACTCATACATACTGCTGTCTTTTTCCATCTATCTTAATTTCAGTAGTATGAATTATTTTGCTGTTTATGAAGGCCTGTCAGAAATGTAAGAAATGTGATAGATGGGCCAGGTAACTTGGCTGGTTAAGGTTAACATCAATCCTACAACATGTTTCAGAATCTTGATGATTAGTCCAACATCAGATAACTTTTACTTGGTTATTTTATGTTATGTAAAAGTCAGTTGCTGTTGTATTCATCTGTTCTCTTGCCAAGGTTTGCAACCGTTTTTTAATAAGCACTTACTGTCTTGTTTTATAATTCCCTGTGATTGTAGACTGACTCAACAAGGGGAATACCTGCCCATTTTATTCATCAATAATTTGGTGCATAAAAGCAAACAGTTGAAGGTAAGCGCAGTTTTGGAGGACCTTATTTTTTAAAAAATTGATTTTTTCTTTTTTTTAATTTGGAATTATGTTAAAGAGGTTGAAGCTGTACTGTTGGTGTCCGTAATTTTATTGTTATTAGTGGCTGGGAATGGGTTATCTCTACAGACTACTTCTCTTTGATTAGTTTCTTATTTTTTTTCATGTATGTGTATGATTTCCAATTTCGGTAGATAGAATTTAAATGATTGAAGAATTCCTCAATAAGGATTCCACTGCACTATTAGAAACTTGTGGATAGAAGAGGGTGGCAACATAGGAAAAAACCAAACCAGCTGTGTCGATATTCTGGTATGGACTGATCATGAAAGCCTGGTCCAAATGATGCACTGGCTAGGATTTGAGCCATTGGCCACAGAGGTTGAAGAAAATCCCACTTCACCAATCTGTCTCCATTACTGCTTGGTTCCCTCATATTTTTGAAGCCCACTTTCTATTTGGCAGCCCATTTGTATTTTGAAACACGTATTTGTTGTATTTCATGTACAGCCAATTAATGCTAGCACTGTTGAGATGCCACTGCACATTCTCTACAGCCCAATCTCCATTGGCTGGCTAAGGCTCTACTCAACCCTGGAGCAGTCTGTGAAGATGCTTCATGACCTGGGTCAGTTCTCTTATCATCAGTTCATTTTGGTCTTGAATTACTTTGTACCAACAACATTGTTGGTGCTTTACTACAAAACAGACTTGTATAAATATTTTTTTGGTAAGCTTTTTTGTTTATGGTAGTGGTAAAGTTTTTTCAGTCAAAGTCATGTCTAGTTCAAATGGGAAGAGACAGAAATTCTGTAGGAATCTTACCTGAAACCTTAATAGAGTTCAGTACACGCACATGCATTATGTGATTTTTGGCAGTTTTAATCTTTGGCGTACTGTAATACATTCTACTGATTGCTGTGTGAAGTCTATCATGAAATTATCTTGAGGTTTCTATCTAAGATTGCAACACTTACACTACAAAAAGTCGACTAGTGTGTGGCTTGGACAAACAAGAAGTTTTGCTGTTTTCTCTCGTTTGTTCTTGTAGGTTTTGGTGAGAAAGACACAGAAGAAGTTATGTCTTTGTTCACAGACAGTGGTCTGTACCTCCTAGCTCTGACAGTTATTGTCTCCATGTTTCACGTGAGCTCTGCAATTTTTGCTTTCTAACCTGGCAGTGACTAGTCGCAATACTGTCTGAATTGTCCAAATGAGTTACTGTAATTTACTGCCTGATGATTTGTTTGTCAGGTTTGGGCTACTTGGCGGCTTAGCCCCAGCTTCCATGTCTGGGGTACTCTGTTAAGGCAAGAGACAACAATGCTGAAATGATGAGAACCCTACACAGTGCAACATTTTGTTGCATAGTGCAATGTGTTGGACAAACACCAGAGTTCACACTGCAGTTACATAATGTCTCTGCCTCTTGCGTGTACTGCTAAATCTGATAGGTTTACAACAGCGCTGTGATGACTGGCAAATATTGTTGCAAGAATACCACTTCGCTTCAACATGAGAAGGACTGACTAATATTTTATGGTGCCGTCATTTGCAGTTGCTGTTTGATTTCTTGGCATTCAAGAATGATATCTCATACTGGAGACAGCGAAACACCATGGCAGGACTTTCCACAAGAACAGGTGCCAAGTTAATGTAGTTTTCCAAAAATAGATCACATGTCCATATTTTGACGGGAAATGGATACTTTGAAATCATTATTCAAGAAGTAAAAGATTATCATGAAATCTTTACTTTTAAACAGTTAAGTTTGGCTATTTGCTGACGATGCTCATGGAAGCAAACTTCATCTTTTGTCCTTAGTATTAGTTTGCTTAGAATTTATCCATTTTCCGATTGAAATGCCAAGCTATCACCATTTGCTCCCCATCCATCTGAGGCCAGAGCACAGCTGTGCTCCTGGGTGGAGGTGGGCAAGTCGGGGGGGGGGGAAGGAGATTGAACACAACACATCTATGGCTGACTGCTGGATTTGAACCTGTGATTAAAAAAACAGAACAAGTTCTGATCTCGGGCCATTCTGCCAAATTCGCCAAGTTTAAAAAGAAGAGAACACATAGTGTCTCCTCAGGCTTTTGTCGAAATTGAATAAGCTGCCATAACTGATCATTTGGAAATAAAGTTTCTTACCCCATAAGGCACCAGCCCATTCATGTAGCTGCCAAAGTTATTCAGTCCAGAATCCACTGATAATATTTTCAGTGCTGTTTGGGCTCTTCATGTTCTTTTTCCTGTACAGTTGTTTGGCGCGGTTTGAGCCAGATCGTCATATTTCTGTATCTTCTGGATCGGGACACCAGCTTGCTTGTTCTTGTACCTGCTGGCATAGGCACTGTCATTGAAGTAAGGGTGGCCTTTGTTTATACGAAGTGAAGTTGGATTTTTCCTTGGATACAGTGTGTGCCTGTTACATGTATACAGAATGTGCCTATAGCAGCCTTACTGTACATTGATGTATATTTGTCTGACTTAGTTGGTTTTTTCTTCCATTTTTTGTCACAGTTCGCAAGCTGGTGGTGGTGGTTTCAAATTTCAGATTATGTGTGGAGTAACTTTTTTTATGTCAGACAATTAACTTCCATGGAAATTCTATGAAGGGACAGGGCTCATAATAAAACAGAACCATGTGTTGTCTTTTGTTTTGTTCATTTGGTTGATCAAAAACAACAAATACCGAGGAAAAGACAAGTATTGGATGTTTTTTGTTTTGCTGACATGAATTTGAAATTATATCTAATAAAAAACACATCAACAAAAAGGAGAAGTACTTGTCTGTACTTGTCACGTTACTCAATTTCTGAGATTCACTGAGCGACTGATCACTTGTCTACCCCTCTTGTGTTGTAACTTAAAGGTGTGGAAGGTGAAAAAGGCTTTCAAAGTCCACTTGTCCTTCACTGGGCTAAAGCCCAGGATATCATTTGGCACAACGACAGACTCCGAGAGGGCAACGGAGGAGATAGACTCGCAGGCCATGCGATACTTGTCCTACGTCCTGTACCCACTGTGTCTAGCTGGGGCGGTGTACTCACTGCTCTATGTGCCTCACAAGAGGTGAGTGGTGTAGCCAGGGTAAATTCTGATTCAGGATTGGGTCTTGGTTGGGCACTGAAAGCTTTGGGTCAACAGTGGTGTTGCACCCTATCAGTTTTTTGTAGTTGAAAAATGAAGGTAAAGGTATTGTGTGAATGCCATTTGAAAAAGTTAATTGCTTTGTGCGCTGCCTGTAGGGACTGCTGTCATGATAGGTGGAGCAATGGTCCTTCTGTATAAGGCCCTCCCCCCGAAGTGCTAATAATCACACACTTGAATCCCTCTTTACTGCACCCCAGCGTCCATTTCTGGCATAATCATACTTGTGTAAAATAAAATAATGTCAAGTTCTGTGAGGTCTCGAAATCAAGGTTTAAAACCTTCCAGAGTATGGAGCGTATGGCCAAACAACCTCAGAAATCATGTGATCTGATTGTTCTACCAACTGCCACGCATCACCTGATTGAACTCCTGTGACTTCTCCTAACTTTCCCCCACCTACCTTTTGAGAGGGGTGTCAATCATGGGATCACCCTGGCAGTGATTGAAACGGGAGGGGCCCATATCCATCCTCATATGTTTGTGCACAACATACTACTACGTTGTGTTAATACATGCAATACCTACTCCACTCTAAAATACTCCTTCCCTCCTTTGGAAAATGTGTCAGGCCACTGTCTGGTATAATTGCCAGTGTGTCTGGAAGCTTGTGGTTTCTGCCTGCACTGTAAACAGATGGACAGGGCCGAGCCTGGGTCTGGAGAGGCTGGCTGCATGGAATTATTTACACTGTCTAGGCCCAGCTGTAGTGCTATAATGGCCTTGGATGAGTGAGTCACAGTGTTTCAAGCATGTATAGTGGGAATTTCCCGTGTATTTTTAGTATCGCCGATGTATTTCAGTGTTGTTGAATTCAGTGCCTCTCACTGCAGACCACGCCCCCAAAAAGGACACTTCCTTCACAAAACATACTGAGAAGTCTGCCTAAGAAGGCTTCCGTCTGATTTATTTTTTTTAAAAACGGAAAAAAATTTGAATAGGGCTCGTTTAATTAACTGAAACTAAATCTGAGACAATTTGATCACAACATGCAGAATAGTGTCAGAAATTGACGTAGGTGCCTCCATGGAATCACCCCACTGCAGACCACGCCCCCAAACAGGACACTTTCCCTACAACACATACTGAGAAGTCTTCCTAGGAAGGCTTCCATCTGATTTATTTTGAAAAAAATAGAAAAAGACATTTAATCATGGGATCGTTTAATACAACTTGATTTGAACCTCTTTGGTCACAATGTGCTGAATTGTGTCAAAAACTGACGCGCCGGTGCCTCGTAATTTAACCCTCCGAGGAGGCACCTTCGTTTATTAAATTAGATTATTGCCGATAACATGAGGAAGACATCTGGTTTCCATGGGCGTTCGAGCCTTGTCTTAGTGTCTGTTTGGACCACAGATTTAGGGCTTGGCAAAAATCACACCCCAGAGGAATTTAGGTGTGTATTTTCCATGCCTGTGATTTGGATGTCATTATTGGGGCAAAGCAGATTTCGTTTACCAAGATGCAGGTTTTGAATTTTTTTCATTGCCGTACAATTACATATTCTACACAAGGAAATAAACATTTTATAAAGGAAAAAATTAATAAGTCTGACCCAGGAGTCTGGAAGCTTTCTGAAGAGTAAAACACAATCAGTTGGATGTAGAAATACGGGCATTTCACAATAGTGCGCCTCCAAGAGTTTGCAACTCTTTGGCCAATCACAATGCGCAAACTTTGATGACCCAATGCGCATTTGGAAAGGGTCGACAGATTTCGCGCATTGTGATTGGCCAACTTGATGCAAACTCTTGGAGGCGCGCTATTGTGAATCGCCCGTATTCACCAGATGGTCACATATTACCTGTACATCTGGTGTAATTTGATCAGTAAGCTGTCCATTCGGCTTCAAGGCTAGCCCAAACATAGACATCTTCAAAGCATTGCATGTACAATGTCTTTTCCTTGACTTACTGACTCAATGACATTGCGTCATTGACTTTGTTAGCAGCATCAATTGACCTGTCAATCAGGTGTAAGTTTGTCAGCATTGAATTTAGACCTTTTCTTTCTGCCTTTTTTGGCAGTTGGTATTCTTGGGTCATTCAGAGTCTTGTCAACGGTGTCTATGCATTTGGCTTTCTGTTCATGCTTCCACAGTTGTTTGTCAACTACAAGGTGAGCAGTGAATAGAATTTAAGGGAACTATATTTCAGTAATCTAACATTTGTTAAAAAGAATAAGACTGCAGAGATTTTCAGTCAATTTTCAGTCAAACATAGAAATCATTAATGTTTTTCATTAACAAAACTCTGTTATGATATATATTCAAAGCAACGTTATTCTGTCTCACCCTATGAAATTCTGAACATTCTGATCCGAGTCATTTGTAAGATTCTGGATGTTAAATGAGCGTTCTTCTCCTTTTCTCTCCCGTGCAGTTAAAATCTGTGGCCCATTTACCATGGCGGGCATTCATGTACAAGGTGAGAATAAGTAAATTTACACATTAGAATTCTGTAATCAAACCTCTGTCATTTAGAAGGGTACTTTAACCCGTTGACTGCCAACTATGAGTATACTCGTAGTAACAGGTGTACCGGATTCTGGGCTAATGTAATATAAATCTTAATTGAATACACCGGCAACACCGAAGAACACAACAAATACCCTGCTGGCAGTGGTGAGGGCATACTTCCGTAAAATACTCGTGATCAAATAGACACCTGAAAAGTACCTATGAAATATGCACAGATACGTGCAATGCTTGGCAAATTGGAATGCCCTAAGAAATTATGCGCAGCAGACAATTGCTAAGTTGCAATTATAACATGGCTGATTTTGTTTAAAAAAAGAAAAATTACTGTTCATCCTACTTGCCTTCTGGTGCCTTGTACCTACTGAAGCCTGTCACCATGATTGATGTTTTCAATTCAGTTTCCTCCATAATTTCTCTTTTCAGGCCTTCAATACCTTCATAGATGATATGTTTGCCTTTATCATCACCATGCCAACGGCCCACCGGCTTGCTTGCTTCAGGGATGACATTGTGTTTGTTCTGTACCTCTACCAAAGATGGTAGGTGTTAAAATGCAAAGGAGAATTCATCATAATACAAAAACAGGTTGGAAAAGCCAGATGTGTTTTCAGTCGATTACTTTTGTCATAAGTATGACAAAAGTAGTTGTAAAATATTTCATTGCCTAAAGTGAAATCCTTTTGTCGATAATGAAGTCCAACAAATACTTGGAGAGAATGTCGCTTGTTTCAAAACATGCAATTTTTTTTCCCACCTTTGTTTTCAGAATTTTCCCTCTTCAAACCTATCAAATCCTTTCCAGCTACAATAACTTCTCACAGTTTCTCACTCTGTTTAAAGTTTGTTTGATCAATTTGTGTAATCAAACTGGAATATGTTGAAAATGTCGACTACTTTCCTGAATGCATCTTGTCATGTTGCCATGTCATTCCTCTTTGCATCCATACAGGTTGTATCCAGTTGACAAGAGCAGAGTCAACGAATACGGCATGTCGTTTGACAAGGAGGACAGTGCTGGGACAGAGAAGATAAATGATGCCAAGGAACATGCAGAGTGAAAGCAAGTAGGAATCTGTAATGCCTACATGTGGCACTGATAGTGAGGATGGAGTCAATGGGCCAAAGGCTACTTCAAATTTTAGAGGGAGAGGGGAGGTAATCTTTTTCAGGAGGGCCTACGGAAATCCACAGTATTATTTATTCCTGTACATGTGATCTTGATGGTCTTTCTTAGACATGAGGCCTACTTTTAGGGTGTTTTACACATGTTGGAGAAAAAATATACCAGTCATGCCTCTGTCTTGGATACTGTCTGTTCATAGGCCCAGAACAATCACACAACAGGGCGATGTATCTGCATGTCACACTGTGAAACACCTCATTCTGAGACAGAAGAGCTCCGGGAAGTTCGACAAAGAATGTTTTCACTCATTCAGTCAGTTTTCCATGGTACCCATGATACGTTTTGCGCATAGGTTACCAGGGAATTTGATCAATGGTCACGCTCGTATAACAGACTCGTTCCCGTCCCCACAGCATATAAGGTAATGCAGGGACCGCTAACCAGACTACAGACCACATGAAATGTGATTTTGTACTCACTGGCACCCGCACTACTTCCACATTACAGTTTATGCAATTAAAGAGAGGGAACAGTGCACTTGCAGACGATATCATTTACATCTGTTAATGTTATGTTAATTACACAGTTTTACAGTAGGTCTATTGTCTTCTGAACTTCTAAAATTCAGAGGTCATTTCTTTGGATGAATTCCATAAGACAGAGGTATGGCAAAACAATTGTTGACTGCTGTGATGCGGGATATGAGGTTTGGAACACCCAAGGGATGCATAGCACCTCGAAGTGAAGCCAAGGGCACTATGCGTAACCTGTCCTCTTTAGAAACAAACAGATTTGCCCCTTTTTTGGCCTGTTTGAGCCCCCTCCCCATCCCCCAAGTGTGGGTAACTCGGCACAGAATCCTTCTTTTCAAGGTTATACAAGTACATTTAGCCAAACCCACGGACTTATGGCTACAGAAAGCAGAGATTCATGGGAAGAGTGCATGTTAGCAAATGAGACGTCATCAGTCCATAGGCCTCCTGGGCATGCTGTGTCCTCATTCATACAGGGATGTTTCAAAGCCAGCAAATAACTGGATTGTATTTTTGTGCGCTTGTAAGAAAAAGTAACCTTTTAAACAGTGAGAATTGTTACTCAGTAAACCTACTTTGAAGTATCTTCGTGTACAGAGTACCGAAGTGACTTTATCATGCACACAATTACATTTGTAAAAGGTATTAAAGCAAGAACCAGCCCATGAACCAACATGCGCACCTACTCCATCCATGTGCATTGCATCTCTGGTTCAAAATGACGTCACACTTCGGTACTCTACACAACTAATTGAAGTGCAGTCATTGTTTTGAATGTAAATATGAGAATATTTGATGTGGATATGGTCGCATAAAAGTCATTTCATTCTTTAAAGCATCTCATGATACAACTTGTAACACCAAGCGGCAATAAATTCTGCATAATAAATGCAATATATATCCTTCCAGCAAATGTGGTGTCACATTTAAGTCATAAACTGACTTTTATTCTTGAATATATTACATATAAAACACATCAAACTGGCGAGACCAGGTCCTAGCACTAGTATGCGTACACTCAAAACAGGATTCAAAATTGAAGGTACAAATAAATTCCAATCAATTTGTCGTAAATAAATTTCAGGCAATAGCTAAACTAAGCATTCACTAACCAAACAAGTTCCTTTGAGCAACAAAACACTGCCCTAATCTTGTCAATGATCCAAAGGATTCATAAGGCCAAGCAATCACTGTGTACCTTCAATCGGCGTGTATCCATACAACGTGCATTTGTGACTCTTTGAATAGCTGTTTGTTAATGCAGCCACTCGTTAACTTACTGCAATGAGGTTGCAAATTTTGATACATCCATCCTCGGTCCACTACCTGAGGTCACAGACTTGGGCCATGTTCCCAAACTGACATTTACCTTCAATAACTGCACCCAGCTGAGGTACAATGTGTAACCTTAAGCAAAATCTGAAGCCATACATGTACGTGCAGCATGCCAGAATCAGTCACTGTGATGACTTAGCATCAAAGACGGCAGTCCACAAAGGATTGTGGGACATGCAACATGGAGGGCAACTGATCTTAAAGCTTACAAGGACACAAGGCTTGTCCTCATCCTTTGGCTTTTATGGGAAGGACAGTTTTAGTTCAAAAAACAAGAACACTTCTGATGACTGCACAGTACAGGCCTAGTTAATCACCACCTACTTGATAGCCGTCAAGGCATTAAAAAAACACTTGTCCAGAACTTGTTCGATGACCAGGAGAATAACCAGCAAAGAAGTGATGCTACGTTTAGCTCACATTACAACCCCACAAAACCAATGGGTGAAGAAAATCTGATCGGTACATTTTCTGAACAATAAGAGAGGACCCCTTAGTACTTCAGCTTATCTTACTGTAAAATGGAAATATTAGACGCCTATTTGCAGCACTTCCGATTTGGTAGGCAACGCCGTCGCAGTTGCCTGCACGAAGTCCATCTCCGAAATACTGCCCACGCTCAGGCTTATTTGTAAAATGCAAGATTCATGTTTGACAATGCAAAGGTGTAAATTTAAAGGTCAAGTTGAGGGATAACCTGTTGACCGTAACAGGACACTTTGGAAGCTGCGTCAGTAGTCGTCATCATCTGAATCCATCACTCGTCTCCGGTCAAACTTGGGGAAAGTAAATAAAAAAGGATGTCATACTATCATTCTACCAACAGCAAAGGGATGTTCACAATTCACAGTTCTTGATTGTCCAAATTTTAATCTCTCAAAGGAACACCCCCCCTGGCAATAGCAGCCCTGTGTTTGTATTATGCCCCTTATGAACCAGTGCTAAACCCATACAGCATTTGATTTTAACTACCTGAATACTCACATGAACATCAATATCTGAAAAAGCAACAGAGATATTTATTGGCCCAACCCGAGAAGTAAAGTATTCACCAGAGTAAGAAAAGCCCAAGTGAAAAAAAAATCAAACAGGGCGTTCCTTGTGAACTCTTAGGCTCTTACATTGATTTTTGTTTTTCTCTGTGTCTGCATGCTGACTTTCTCCAGCAAGCCCTTGAGTTGGTCCTCTCCAATCTAAAACCGAAACAGACGGATGTAGTTGGTCATGTCTACAATTGAAACTATAAGAATACTTATCTAGCTCTTCTCCAGGGGTAGGGCAGGGGTGTTGATTGTACGCCCTAACAAAGTGTGAGCAATATCGGACTACAAAAAGCTTCAGTAGAAAACTTACTTGCACAAACTTACGCCCGTTTTTCTCGCCATCCATGGGCAAAATTTCCCCATGTTTGCTGGCAGGATACTCTGAACTCACATGAGGGTTTTCCCACAACCATATTTGTTATTGGCTTTTCGCCTGGGCAAACATATGGCAATGTAGCCACAACCCCGAAGAGATTCAGAAATGATCTTATTTTTCAACTCGTGCTTTGTCCTGCTCACCCGTCCTGGTAGTTGTCCTGTCTGAGCCATCTGTATCAACATCATCTCCACCATCTTGGCTTTCTCTGGTTTCACTAAGGCAATGCTGTTTACTGTAACAAAAGAACAGGGGTCATTTTCTTTATATTGATACTGGGCTTGGCTTTTCAACAATCCAGCACTATCAAAGACGCATGCTCAGTGATACCTTTAAAAAAATTTTTTAACAAGCTCATTCATTGGGGGATGTCAGCCCACGGCTTCTCTTGAGGCTATGGGAGCCGGGGGTTACCATTCACTGCAATGTCCAGACTACAATGGCCGATTTACCTCACTCTGGTCCACAACTCCAACATGTATCTATGTACTTATGACATCACTCTTTGTTTACAAGTGCACTTTCTGATTGGAGCTAGGAGGGGACAACTGATTCGAAGCTCCGATGGACAGCAAAGCATGAAATCATCGTAAGTGCATACCCCATTGTGACAATAACTTCACATTGTCAAGCACTTCATCTAGAAGGGTGAAGGAATTTCAAGGAAATAATGACTTCTAATGACATTTCCCCAATAAACATTTCCATTTGAGTGCAACACAAAAGACCGGCACTGGGTAAAACTTTGTCTGTTCCTTTCCAAGAAGCAAGTGAGACACAATCAGCCTTGCACTGAATTAATGGTCATCGCTCAGAGTTAATGCGGAATAAAAATACAATGTACTGACATGCATGTATCAACTTTACTGGCATGAGTCTACTGGCACTTACGCCTTGCTCTGGCATTCTGGTCCAGCACTTGAGTCAATATCGAGTTTATCATATCTTCCTTCCTGAAAAAAAAAGTATCACAACCTCATACATATATCTTAAGATGGAGGAGGCTCAAATTTTTTTAAAGGTATCTGCACCATCGGCAACATCTTCACAAACCAAGAACAAATTTCATTAAAAGGTTTTTGTTTAAAGCTAGTGATCTAAATTTTTTTGTAAATCAACAAACGTGTCACTGACAAAAAGCTAGGTAAAGGGGGAGTCAGGCTGGCGTAGTGGTTCTTTCCTCGCCTTTCCGCCTCTGTGGTCCAGGTTCGAATCCCGGCTCGGTCCACATGTGGATTGGGTTTTCAGTCCCTACCTGATTCTGTGGGTTTTACCCAGAGTATTCCTCCGGGGTTTTCCTCCCACCTCTAAAACGGAAACTGCTTCTCGTCGTCTCCTCTCTACAAGTTGGTGTGATGTTTTCCCTAAAGATGCTTTGCCAACTTTACATACAGACAGACAGATGTTCAAAACAATCCAAACTCTGAAATAATCCTGCAGAAAAAAGCCTTGGAATGTTAACCCAAACTTATCCTGTGTGACCTCCTTCAATCTAACATACCTTTTCTGGGCCGCCTCTTGTTCCTTCCTGGCATTTGGATCCTGCTCCTGCAGTGAGACAAACATGAACAAGAATGAATCACTCATAGTGGAAAG